AGATGGATAGAATAAAACAATATTTCTGTGATTAGCAACAACAGCTACATCGTGTGTCTTATGTTAATTCCGAAGGGACTATGCTAACAGTTTCTTTTTCTGTAGTTATAAAAAATAATTAATTCATATGATAAATACAAAATAGTAATAACTAAATATGGATATTAGTAGCAAATATTGTGTATCCTTTGCCTCAAGGAACTTGATAAGTATTATGATAAATGTCATATAATTAGAATGAAAGCGAGTGCAATCATAACACAAAAATAATAAATAATCGATATATATATATAATTTTAAGTTGACTTCATACAAGTATTTTAACGTTAGTTAAAGTAATAGAACATCGATTAAGAATACATAATAAAATTTATTACGTAACTAATTTTTCCATAATGCTAAAAAAAGATAATATGATTATTTACAAAATATAATAGATTAATGTTCTAAATTATTTTCAAAAATTATCTGAAGCTATGCGACGCGACTTTGAATCATACAAAAAAAAAACAATAATATTTGAAATACATAAGTGTATAATAACAAAAATACACTTGTATTGTGACATAGTCACGAAGCTATAGCTGCAACTACATTATAAATATCATCAACTGTATCAGTTATCGATCTAGATATTTTCTTGAATCGTAAATAACTCGATAGATGCATTTAATAGAAGAGCTATTTGAGTGATACAATAAAAGAATGGAGAAAAGGAAGGTTTTATCCGAATGCAAAGATAAGAAATAGCGATAGCAAAATAATGATGAAAATAAGTAGTAACTATGATTAACATAATAATATTATTCATAGAAGCTTTTATTCAATTTTTAACGCATAATTTACTTTGCATATATACTTCATTACTCACATCTTGAATGTTTATTCATGATAACAATACAAAAAAAAGGGTATTTAAACCTTGTCTTTACATTTCTATTGAAAAGTAATGAATAATATTATTTATCATAATATTTCGATTGTAACGAAAAGTTTAACTGGCGACAACAATTATTGATTATCATATATCTAAAATCTTGAAATTCACATGTTCACAGAAACCGCCTTTCTCGTTGATACTGGCACAAAAACCTGCATAACAACACATTTCTCTCGGATATCTGAATATTAGAAAAAATATTCAATAATTAAATACAACTTTCAGATTTAACATCAGTATCGATCAGCAATAAAATCGGTTCATAATTCTTTTGAAACCGAACTGAGCTAACTCCTTTTCTGGTGTCAACGAAATGTCGAAACATGAATTCTAGATTTCAAGGCTTTCCAAAAGTATATATGTAAACGGACCATGAACTTGTACGTTTGTTTGTTTGTTTACACGGTAGATTGACATGCTTTTCTAGATTGCATTTTATATTCATATATAAGCATCCTCCTCCCCCGCACGGTATCCAATTCAAACTAGTCATTTAGATATGTTTTTTATTTTTCATGGAAACATTTAAATCATATATTTATCGATTTCAACATAGGAAATGATGTTTAATTTAAAAAAAGAAGTTATGTGAAAGATAAGTTTTTTAGCAATCAATTGATTTTTTTTAATAAAACACTTCATTCGTTAATAGTTAATAAAAAAAAATGACATAGACAGTTAAATCATCGAAGCATAAATATGATGTTCGTACTCGATGGGTAGTGAGACTCACATTAAAATAAACACGAAAAACACAATCATCAAACAAATCCGGATAATATCAATGGAGTTTTGAACTGAAATTGACTTGTATACTATTAAATTATCATCAAAGCTTAGATTAAGAAAATGATTATTATTTTCTTCATTAATTCTTTCATTTAATTTATCGTGTTCAAATCTAATGGGAAGATTTTATCGAGTTTTTGGAACTTGTATTTGAAATATAATTTTCTAACACTAAGCTATTTACAAATTTTATGTATATTAATTCAAACGATTGGCATGTTTTAAATTAATTTTGGATAAAATGTCTGTGTCTACCAACATTATAGTCAAATTAATTTTATTGATGAGTACCTAGGAAAGATATATATAAGTAATCGCTGAATAACTGAACGATAATGAGAGTCATAAACTTGTTGCATGGTATATTGATTTATGACAGAATCTATTTTTATTAAAAACCATTTAAAATAACTTTATGTCGAGAACTAGGAAAATTTTATAATCCAACTCGAGTCGATGTCTGATTGACACATCATAATAGTGAAAAGAATAATTTTCTTTTTCTTAGATGAAATTTCATACAGTTAAACAGAAGATCGAGTAATGAAAACATAAAGAATTATATCTATATAAGATATCCACTAATAACCTAATAGTTGCAATGAAAGTCAAAATAAGACAAATATTTATAAAAACTTTAATTATCCATCGAAACAATCTCATATAGCTTTCATTTATTTATTTGAACATTTGATCATCTTATGTGTTTAAAAAAAAACATTTCTCAAAATAAAAACTTAAATAATAATTTATTTGTTTTTCTGCTCGTAAATCCATTTTGTATATGGTTCTTCGAATAGCAATGCAATTTTATAAGCTATATAAACTTCTATTGTAAGTAGAATACCAACAGGTGAAGAATAATATAATGCTAAAGCAAAAAATGATAATGTTGATCCGGTATACATTGGATTATTGACTACATTAAACGGAAATGTTGTTACTGGTGCATCCATAAGTATTCCACAATAATCACCTAAAAATGTTCCTGTAATACCTAATTTATAAAACGATGATAAAACAAATATTTGTCCAACAATAAATATTACTATAGCAATAAATTCTATTAAATAAGAATAATCTTCTAATAATATTAATTTAGGTTGATTTTGTATTGTTTTTCGTACTAAATAATCTCGATATGATGAAAATGAAAATATCCATATCATTAATAAATAACATATTATATAACGTTTATATGTTGAAGTATTTTTCGGTATAAATTTATGACATAAACGTGCGAAGATATTCCATAGAACAGGACAAAGTACGATGGCACAACATGTATAATGCAAATAAGAATCATTGAAATGAATGATCGTTTTAGAAGACATTTCAATCAACAACTAAATTTAAAATTGGGACACTGAATGTGAACTTTTGTTTTACTTTAGAAGAAAAGACAAGTGCACTGATATTTTTTGTTGGGCAAAAGATAAAGTTCTTTTCGGTATAACATGGACGTGATATGGTATTTTATGGGCTCAATATTTTACATATTGTGATAGTAAATTAAGATATCAAACCAAATAGTGCTACTGAATATTTTGTTGTTTTGAAAACGAAAACCTAATTTTTTGTCTGAAAATGAATACCAATTATATCATTAAATGATATTTCAATACTTTATCTGATTGAAATCGTTCATAGAAAGCAGAAAAAAAAACGAACCTATTCACAAGAGGCGTGAAAATAATTTATATCTCTTTCGATATGACACATGTTATATAGACAAAATTTATGAAACTAAACGAACTAGAATAATTATATATTGAGAACCTCAAAATTATGTATATGTTAGTTTTTGCTTTTCTTAATTTTTTACTCATACGTTTGCAAGTTTTGATCAAATGAAATCTAAAACACTTATTTTTATATCTTAATATTTCATCTATTTCACATTACCACTTTGATCTATGTTTATTTTAATGATAAAATTATTTGATAAACTTTGAATCAAGATTTGAGCTGAATTTTGAATATATTAAAAACTAAATGTATAATTTCAATTGTTTTTATCATAAATATTGGCCATGATATGTCTCTACCTAGATTGTATTATCTTATTTGCTTGCGTATTTTTTTCATGACATATCGGTTACTTCTTTTTCTTTTTGTTTTTTGTCCTTCGTTTTTCGTTTATCCTGTCTTTCAATGCATCGTACTCGAACTATAGGGTACATCGGCAGTATCGCAACGAGGATATGTCACGAAAGAATATGTAGAACAATATGCTTCTCGTTATTTATTGAGCTTTTGTTTTTTTTGTCTTTGTTTTCTCGATTGCAACATACAAGGATCGAAAACCTGAAGAAAAACAATGAATGAATCGAAATTAGCGCATGCTTTAGTTATCAGTACAATACTCTTGAAAGTACTTAATAACTTAGATAAATTTTTTTTTTTCATACATTTATTTTTTTATATGCATATTCATTGAATGATGACTATCTAATTGACATATATTTCGCTTTAATGTACAAATAGAAAAGGTGTCTAATAAAGCAAAACGTGTGTTTGTTTTTGCCTTTATTTCACGGATACATATATTCATTAATGTAAATTAAGAAAAACTTGGAATAACTATTCATTTAGTTGAAATCATCAAATATCGAACTAATCTAATATTTATTGAATAAAATCCATGCACAATTAAGTGATAGTCTAAATTTCACATGATGTTAAATTGTATTGATATTCTAATTTGTATTGACATGTTTTTGTCCACAATATTTTTCCCTAGATATGATCATTTTTTTTCCTATTATCTTATATGTACTTTGTCATTTTGCATTTTTCAAATGATACTGAATAAATATCTTCTTATTTCTTCAATCCACAATACAAGAATACGTCCTATACACACATTTATAATTTGTATCTATATGTATATACAAATATACTAATCACAATGGTTCGGTGATAAAGAAAGAAAACAAGATATTCATCATTCAACAAAACCGTCTCTTATTTTTTTTTTGTGTTTTTTCACATATACATCGAGCGTTAAATATTCGCTGTTGATTTATACAATACACCTTAACATCCGTCGGTTATTCATTCACTTTTCTCATTATAACCTGATTTTTTCTACCCTTTACGTTTTCTCTTTTTTTCTTCTCTGTCTCCCTCTCTCTCTCCTCTCTCTCACCATATTTGTTCTCTTACGTTCCAGCTGACAAGACAAGCTATATAACGTACCGCAAACCTCAACTGATAGTGTCGTGGCTCGTCATTTTTCTTCCTTGTTTTTATCCACAATAGGCTGCTAATGGCAACTGCAATCAGTTCATTTACACCCTTTACATTTAATCAACAATCATATTACTATCCAACATTACCATCAACTTTTTCCTTACCACCTTTTTCCAATAATTTTTACTTTCCACAACAACAACAAATACAGCCACAGCAGCAACAACAAACAATACCAACTCAATATGTGGATTCTGGAATACAATCATTACGTCCTCGTCGTCAACCTCGTATTTATCGAGAAGTAATTGTATTGCCAACACCTGAGCCAACTTATCGACAAGTGCGATATCGATTACCAACACCCGAACGGCAAGTTATTCAACGAACAGTTATTCAAAGAGGAAATGGTGAGGTTGTTGTTCGAGAAGAACGACCAAGAACAAAACCAAGAAGCCAAAGTCGAGTGGAATATGGCACACAAAGACGGTCACGTCGTTCACGACAAGTTCATACCGATTAACAGCAAATATTTATCGTAAAGATTGATTGAATCACCCTTCGTTATTTATTTGTTTTCTTTTTTCTTTTTATGTTATAAACATTAGACATTCTATAGCTTCTTGGTTTGATATAAGCCTAAAATAGGTAGCAATAATTAGAAAATAAAAATATATATTATTGACAAATTTTTTCAATTTGTTTACTATTATCATAAGTCAAATACAAGTTGAATTACAATTTTTTATAACGAAGCGATTACACTAGATGGATTCTAATTAACATAAAAGAACTTTGCTATTGACTATATTAGAGATATATCTATTAATTTAAAAATCATGCTTAATCTAATGATGAATAGTAATGTCCGATGACCATGAAATATCAGGCATATAATGTAAAATATAAAATCGTATAAATGAAAGGTTTCTACCATGTCTGTCAATCATCGTAATAGTGTAGATTATTGTGTCGGCTTGATGATATGAATATGTTGATGTTATTGCTTTCATATAGATTGCTATTTGCTTTCATGAAGAATGACAATTCAAGAAAAGTTTCATTCTTACTACGAAACTAATAGTTGCATTGAAATCAATAGGGAATTATCTTTGAATTTATTAATCTATACAATTTAACTTTATTTAAAAGATTAGGCTTTAATTTTTGCAAAAAATTATTCGAGGTATCAGTCGTCATTTTTAGTATGAAACATAGTTCGAACGATAATACTTTTGTGATATAAGATTATATTTCAAAACAAAAAAGTATGATTATTTAATAGTGATACAAATAATTCAGAATTCTGTTTCATTAATTCATTTACGGCTCTTGATTTTTAAATCATATGCTTTTTGGTTAGAGATGTGCGGAACCACGAGAAAAAAATTTGTTTCAACCGTAACTAAAGATTATAGTTAAATATTCTATTTATTATTTTAAGTGAATTATCTAATAAATCATCAATCGAAAGACAATTCAAAAGAAATGAGCCAACAAAGTGTTCGTCATCGACTAGATAAATCAATAACACGAGTATTAAAGATTTTTTCAGATGTAATACGAATAACTTTTGAAATAGTTTTCTCTAGACTGGGACCACAATTAGACAAAAGAAAATAGTACATAAGAGGTCATATTAACTCACTAGTAATTTTCTCGGTGAACCTCATTGAATCATACAATCAACGGAAAGAGTTTGTTGAGACTAACATTTTGCTGTTAGTTTCAGGAGGCTTTGGTCGAATTTTGAAATCTAAACACTATCAACAAAGTAATGCATTTTAAATCATTCGAATAATCCATCGTATTATGGTACATTCAATTTGAGAATAAGCAGATAAGATAAAATAGTAGTAAAATAATGAACACTGCAGCTTTTTGATGGTGCTTCAATACCATATATACATCACCAATTGATTGTTTAGTTTAACGAGATATAGATCCGATCTACTAGTAGACACCGTTAGAATATTTGCTATATTTATCATCCACACTTATCTTTCAACAAATATTTTAGTTTAAAAATTCAAATGACAAAAACTTTGGTATTGTTCATTTGATAACCCTTTTAAAAAGCTACAAAATTATATATTTTTCAAAATTAAGAAAATCTGACCAGGTAAAAAAATCCCTCATTGCATTATTCTCCAGGTACATTTTTAATGAATAGTATTTAGAAGATTTCCATTAGAAAAAGTTCAATTTGTGCCAGAACTAATACAATATTCAGAATCAGTCTAAAATTCTGAGTTGGTCTAGGTGTGATTTAAAAACTTTCTGGAATTATTTCTTTTTGTCAAAAATTTTACCCGTTGTTTCTCTCAGGGACCAAACGAAACATAGATTGCATCACCGTACCATTTGAACATTACAAATAAACCTCGAAAGTTGTTAAAAGTTATTAGATAGCAAAATGAGTGATGTCTAGGAAATAAAAGCAGAGTTTTCATTGAGTTGACCTTTTTGTCTGGAGCCTGAGGGGTACTACAGGCAAAATTTTTGACAAAGAAAAAAATTTCAGAAATTGTTTAAATTGCACCTAGGCCAACTTAAAATTTTAGGCTGATTCCAAATATTATATTAGTTGTGACTCAAAATTATTGTTTCTTATAATAAACTTTTTATTTTAATATTAAAAAATAATTTTTTTCATGAATTAAAACAATGTTCGTTTATGAAATCCATATTTCATTCCGAGCAGAAATATATCAAAATGTTTAATTGTTTCATGAAATATATGGTATGTCTATGGTTTTATAAGAAACAATTTGAAACACCTGGTTACGTGTTTGAGAGGTAAATTTTAAATGCTAATATATAATTACAACTGATTCAATTTTTTTCACTCAATCTTATCTGAAAATTAATTTTGACTTGTACAGAATGAATTGAGTTGCCAATAAATGTAGAAAATTCAATGGATTAAAAATAACTTTCACGGTTTTTATTTAAATAAAAGTATTTTCCTATTGAGTATAACTCAAGAAAAATGTCAAAATTATTTAAATAAAAAATTTGAACTTATCACGATAATATATCTTTTCATTTAGATCTTGATGAACAAATTTTCGAATAGCAATAGACTTTTTTTAATTAATCAATGATAAGATTGCATGCTCTTATATGTATATTATTTTCTATTGATATCGGTTAGAATAACAAATCTCAATGCTTTTAAAAATTGGTCTTTCTCTCTACTGAAGACACTACTAAATAGAGTATAGAAGCGTCTGATTCAATTTTTTAAGATTAAGATCTTTAGTTCAAAATATTGTCACGATTGACAAATTTTCTTATCTAAAAAACCTACAAATGTTTCAAAATTAAGTTTACATCAGTGAAGCAAATATATGAATACTATTCTATATTTGCACATTGTTCTAACGGGATCGTCAAATTTTCATGATAAACATTTTATTCAAATAAAAACTAAAAATAAATCAAAGTTGCTTTATTAAACAGTTGAAAAATAAATATGAAGTTAGATAAGATAAGTGAACTTTTAAATCCAATAGCTGTATGTATCTGTTACATAAAAACTCAAGTCAGAATCTAATATGATATTTGTTGGATAAGAAAACTGATGATCTACAATAATGCTAGCATTCATGCTTGGTAGATTCTAACAGAATACAAGAATACATTCACTTCCTGAATCAGCTACAGATAAATTATCCTAATGTTTATACTTAAAATTACAAGGATAATTGAAGAAGAAATCAACTACTTTGCAAGCGTGATTCCATCAAGTTACAATCTTACATCAAATGTAGTTTCTACTTGCCATGCGACAGTCTTACGTAAGTTCACATTAGCTACATAAATCAATAGCCTAATAATAGGCAAAATTAAAGTTGAGACGACGCATAGTCACTATCATTTCCACCATCTATAGGCTGGGCAAAAAATTCTGGGACACCTAACGTCAATCTATCCTTACTTAGAGCGGATCTTGGTCCAGATACATGGGAATCGCATGAAATTTGCAGTCCTATATCATGACGTTTGAGGCAGATATTCATTAATTAAGGATTAGGTATAGTTCACTAAGTAACTCAAAATCCTTTGTGTGCCTCCATCGTATTCATTCAATTTTTTTGTATTGGAAAGAGCATACCAGAATGTACACTGTAAAAAAAAAGGTACTTTACCGAACCTTGAAAAAAGGTTCAGTAGATGACAAAAAGCTTGCAAATGTGCTCAAAGTCTCAAAGAGAGAATAAAAAAATCCACGGAACCTTTAAAGGATCTTCCCCTGGACACACGGGAAGAACCTTTTTTCTTCGAAACCTTTTTAAGTTCCGTAGAGCAAAAAATAGGTTTCGTAGGAAAATACGGAACCTTTNTATTATGCTCAAGAGGAAAAAATGAAAGTTATGGCTCATCTACCATAGTCACCTGATCGTACTCCTTCAGACTTTCGGTTGTTCGGTTGTCTGAAACGCAGCCTTGATACATATTCAGATGCTACAAGTTTAGCTAAAGCAATAACCAACGAGCTTAATTTAATATCTATTCAAGAATACCGAAAGACATTCCAGGAGTGGATTAAAAGGATGAAACTTTGTACTGAACATCGTGGGGACTACTTTGAACATTTACTGTAAAAAGCTTAGTAAAATGTTTTTTCTATGAATAAATATTTGAAAGTCCGAGAACTTATTGACTAACCTATGTATATAAATCAAATATTTGTAAATTGCAAATTTCCTACAAGATAATATTTAACCAATCAAGATATTTCAAAATTTTTGTACTTCTCTGTTATTTTCTATATCAAATGCATAATTACCATACGTTAATGAATAATTTATCTGAATAAGAATGTTAAAGATTTTGTTTATTTGTTGATGTGAAATAAATATGAAACATACTTCATATTTGAAGACTCATTTTTATTTAAATAAAATGTTTGTAGAAGGGAAATTATAAATGACTCATCAATATTATTTCAGGAATTTTCCCAATATGATATTTGATTTGAAAAATCTTTTGAACATATAAAAAGATAATTATCATTTATAGAATGATCTAAACAGCTAACTGTCAATTTGATATAGAGGACCAATATTATTTTCTTATTGGTTAAAATACAAATGTTTGATCAAGTTCGGTAATATAGATTAACTTTCGTTTTTAATAATCATATAAACGAAAGAAAAAATGTCTTCACATCTTTGGCCAATTATTGAAACATCAAAAGTTAATTCATTATGGTTTCGACCATTACAACCTGGTAGAAAATAAATTTTTCTTATGTGAATATATAATTAATTTAGTATTTCTTTTTTTTTTTTTGAGTACGAGAAGAATTTAGTTTAGCTAAATTTGAAGAATTAATTGAACAAGAGCGACGACATTCTATTGAAAAAGGTTTTTTTTTTTTCTTGCTTCTATTCGTAATTTAATTAATAAAAATGAAATTTCAATTAAGGTGTAAATTTACCATTTCACGGAAAAACAGAAATGGATAATGCTGATGTAAGAATTTTTATAATGAAAGATCAAAAAAAAAAAAAAAAATAGAAAAGTTTAAGATCTTGTTTTTTCTCTAGGATGATGAAGATGCTGATGAAGCTGAAGAAGAAAGTGAAGGTGGTGAACCAGATGATGAAATGGATGCACAACAAGGTCCGGGATCACCCGGAACTACAGTCGGAGCTGGTGTTACACCACAAGATGCTTAAATATTCATGTAGTATTTTTTTTTCTAAAATAATTTGTAAACTAAATAATAAACTTTCATTTTTTTTTATTACTTTTGAAGTAAAATAATACTATATATATATACACGTGTATTTTCAGATATGGCGTCAAGATTTCGGTAAAAAAATAGAAAATAAAACATTAATTTGTTTTATTTGTTTTATTTCTATAAGTAATGTTCCAGTAAAAATGATTCGAATTCAATGGTCGGACAGACAACAAACGATTACACATAAGGAAAATGTTACCGTTGCCATGCCGAGAGATGCAGAGACTAATACTACATATCTACGAATTGTTGTAAATCAAAAGGTATATTTTTCATCTATTCAAATACAGAATGATTATCAAATAAATGAGATATGATTATGATTTTTTGTCGTATATCAAAAAAGATTTCCACATAGAATGGTATAGTTTCTATTAAAATAAGTCTTAATTGTGAATTATCTTTTTTTTTTTCATGAAAAAATATTCGAGAAAATGATTTTTATGAGTTTAACGTGTAAATATTTGAACAGATTTTTATTAGTACAAATAAAAAAATTACTATGTTGAAATATTTTTAGGAATGTATTCATTTTTTTTGTGATAGTCTAATAACATAATTTAATATAGAGATTATTATTAGACGATTATATCTGAAGAACTTAATCATTTTCAATGGCTTTATGAGTCAAGTTCGACTGGAGTAGCAACAATTAGTGCACCATCGATGACAATTGTTATTCTTTATAATTCACAAGACAGAGCATCATGTGAGTTTTTTGCCGAAATGGAAGATTTTTTAAAACCAGGTATGCTTTGAATACAATTGATATATTTTTAAAACACTGTTAGTGATTTAGTTGTGTAAAAAACGAATAGGTTTTTTGTTTTCAAAAAAAAAAACAAATGTGTTACCATTCTGATCGATATTTCCTATATAGGGATTTAGCAAATGAAAAAATGAGGAGAAGGGCAGTACAGCAGATGTGTTTTCTCTTCGCTTCAAGCAACTTTTCATTTTTTCTCAACAAAAAACTTTCTTTTCAGTGAAAACAAAATTGCATCTACCGTCTATTTATTTTTCTTCATCATATCCCTATTATTATTACCACTCATCAATAAAAGAAAATAGTAAAATAATTTTCTACTTGGGAAAAAAATATTCGAAATACAGCTGTTTTCTATTATCGGATTAATTTAATATTAAACTTAAATGTATATCTTAAAAATCGAATCTTCTAATTTCTTTATATCATAAATAATCGTATTTTTATATATGATTATTTGAGAACCCGAAAGACAACGACCCAGTTCACCTATACAACGGCCAAGTCCATCTATACAACGACCAAGTCCATCTATACGACGACCAAGTCCATCTATACAACGCCGTATTGAACCAACACAAGGTATTGATAATTAAATTTAAAAAAATTATAAAAATACCTTTGACTAATTTAATAAGATAATTTTATTCAATTATAACTAAAACAGAAAAGTTCAATATAATGTTCGATTATTTCAGATTTCCTAAACTCATCTAAGTAAAATAAGTCACGATTTCAATCAAGTAGTTTATTTATATTAATTTAAAAAATTTACTACTCAATCGATTTTTGATAATCTTATTGACTGAATAGAAATAGTTTTTTTAGCATGTTCAAAGAATCTCAAGGTTACATCATTGAATTTGAAAAATCATTTATCAGCAACTGCTCGTCTTCTTATAATCTAGAAATTTAATATATTTGTAGAAGATAGATTAGTGATCTAATCGATTGAAATATTCAATATCGAATATCCATTCACTGTTCATTAGTCTAATAAGAAAAATTCTTCATCTGATAAATCGCTTTTGAGTCGACCCTACGTACATTATATAGACCCATAAGAGCTATGGACATTCTGAAAACAATTCATACTCTTTGTTTATTATTCCGTAAATATTTGACTTCTACGGAATTTTTCAACATAATACTACGGCTCTCTCAAGAACGCCTGAAAAACTTGTTTTCGAATGTCAATTTAAAAATTTGCATAACTTCTTCGGAAAATTTCAAATCTTTTCACTCTTCCTATTCCATAATACAACCATGGTAAAAGCGTGTCTGTTACATCGACAGATACGAGGTTCTTATTTCAGTATAGAAGAAAACCAAAAGACTTAGAGCTTTAATAATAAACTACTCTCGTTAAGACCTGTGTCTGTACAAATTTTCAAGTCGAAGTTCGACAATCAACTTTCTTAATGTTCCTGAAGAGAATTACACCCTTCATGAAAAAAAGCCTAGTAAAGATATAGTATCTACGAAGCAATAAGCTAAAAACATGAACTCTTTTCAAGATATTCATAGTTCATTTGAATCTACACAATGCACAGAATTTCGACTCAAATGCTATAGAACAATTGACGGATTTTCCTATAAGAAAGATTCATAAATAATCAATTTTCAACACATCAAAGGACCAGATGCCTCATTCATCTTGTATAAGTGTGCTAAGTTTTTAGAGTGTGAATCCTTTTTGTTTTGGCTAAAACAGATAATTTTAGGAAATTATATGTCCACATTTTATGAATCCAGACCCGAGTTTTTTTTCAACAATATCTGGTACCTTCGATGTATATGAGCGAATGAAGGATCAAAGTTTTAGGCTACTCTCTCAACAAAAAAATTCGACCTACATTTATTTCTTGTTGTTCATTTTCCTATCATTCAATGCTTTATAAATTAGAAGTTCTTAGTTAGTTGAAAAGAGCATCATGTTCATAAAAAAAGGACACATTAAAAAGTAAATTAATAAACAAAATTGGTCAAACTAACAGTAACACGAAAATCTTCAGCTGTGTGAAATAGTTTTAGTTACATTTATGTATACAAGATTAAACTAGTAGAGAGCTGCCGGTGCATGTTTTTGTAGAATCGGACTCATAAAAAAAAGCAATTTACGTTATATCAAAGATATGGAAGAGATAATTATACACAAGAGCATTTGGATAAAGATCAATTAAATCTACTAATCAGTCACAAATTTATTACAAGAAAACATTATATCTACATTTGAAAACTATCTTTTACATATTGAATTTTCATCAGCAAAACTCCATAAATAAATATTTATTTCTAGTTTCTTTCTTTTTGATTATTCATTTATTTTCTGAATGCTAGATCATATAGAATTGGCCGTTAATGATCTCATAAAATTTATTAATCAAGGCTCTTTCACAGATGCTGAACGTGCTACAGAATATTTAGCAAAGTCTCAAGCCAAAATTCAATTTAGTTTATACAATCCTAATGATGATATAAATAACAGAACTACAACAAATAAAATCGAAGCTGCAGCATCACCTAATGTTCTTCGGTTTGTTTACATTATTTATTTTTCAAATTTTTTTATCTTGAATATTTTAGGTTAACATTACGTGTTGAATGTCATTTAAATAGAGAACCTTTGATTAAAACAATCTATGTACCTGTTGGTACTAATCTTCGAACATTGAAAGAAGAAGTTTGTTGATATAAAATATATTAATTTTTGTATAATTATGAACGAATCTAATTGATATTTTAGATAGAAAAAAAAACAGGTATCGAACGTAAAAGTCAATATTGGTATGCTTTTGATCGGTTTTTAATTAATGATGATTATCAATTTGGATCTCAAGATCCAGTAGTTCCACTACGTCCAAAGAATGCTCCTCGAAAAGAAGCACCAACACCAACCGATCCAATTCGATCTGGTGATACTCTTATTATGTATATTGCACAAATTTCAACATATAAATAAGAAAACAGATGAACTAAAATTTGATTTTTGTTTTTCCTTTTTGTTTAAAAATCCATTTGATATTGACTTCAATTCATTTTTTTTTTTCGTTCTGCTAATAAATTAAAATTTCATTTTTATACAAGAAAAAATTTAAACGAAATTTAGGCAATTATTTTAATTTTATCTAAAGATGACTACTCATCATCGTCAATTAACAACAGATCTTAATTCTCATTTAACAAAAATATCTTTACCATATCAATGTCGTAAATTATTATTATCATATGGTATATGGAATTCATCATTAAATATGATTGAAATAATTCATCAACATCGTTCAGCTGCAAAATGTTTTTTATCAATGGGTATTATGAAAAATTCTAAATTATATCTTTATCCTGAAGAAGCAATATTTATGATGCAATGTTCATTATTACAAGTATCAATAAATAATATCAATGAAAAACAAATTTTTCCTCTATCACTTAATGAAGCTTATTCATTATGGTTTAAACAATCATTATTAACTCTTAAACATTTACATGTTTATCAATATTTAACAAGAATTGGATTTATTTTAATTCGACATCGATCACATGGAACAATGATCGAAACGAAAGAAGATTTATCAAATAAAAAAACAAGTAGCATTAAACGAAAGCGAGATGAATATGAACATGAATCAATTGAATCTTCTGAAAACGATATTCAAGATGAAAACTACATTTGTCCGGTAATTGAAAGTTTGAAACGAAAGAAAAATTATCAATTAAAAATGTTTAACTTTCTATGAACCTAATGTAATTTAGAAAAGAAAGTTTGTTTTTAATCACTACTGTATTATGAATCAAAGATGCCCATCACAGCTAGATAATCTACCGCTCATATCATCGCGATGCCGGTACGATAGCAGTGCTGGTATGGACATCTCTGTTATCAACAAGTAGCGTACCTTATGTATAATTTATGTAATTATTAGTTCAATGCAATACTTTTTTATGTAGACCCAATCGAACATGAATCTGATAATGAGAATGAAGAGTCATATTTTGCAGGTCTCGAAATTTGACCATCTTCTAGATGGTCCAACCTACCACAACCATCATAGGATGATATTATTAAAAGTATATTTGTTTTACAAAAAATGATTTCTAAATAGTGCAACTCCATAATCATTGCAGTCATTTATTAGAAGATTGTAAAAAGTTTATTATCATAGTGATCAGAAGTTGAATAAAGTAGGACAATTTCAATCATTGAGAAAACAGTATGAGAGATAGGTTGAATTACTTATTGTAAAATGTTCGCTGATCAATTGTCAAGAGTCAGATTAATTACCAGTTTTTAGTTACATTGTTTCTCTTCTCGAACTTATGTGTGGATGAGGAATAGCGGTAAATCATTTAACTTAACATGTAAAATTAACTTAAATTTTATTCCTTAACATTAAGTTTAAGTAATTGCATTAGACAAATATCATTTAATCTAGAGTTTCTGTTTACTCTAATACGGATGCATCATGGTGTTGTTCGAACCAATCTGGTGGTTGCCCAAGGTCCTCTCTCATATGGCCCGATCAACGGTATATTTTGTCCTTAAAGTAGTGGAGACAGCTTGCTCAAATCTGTTTGATCGATAAAAAAAGCTGTTGACCAATCATATTACAGTAGGATTGTTCTCCGCTATGATAAGGTTAAAACATAGTGTTGTTGGGGCTGATCATGCGTTAACAAAGGCTTTTTTTTATATGGTCCGAACAACATCATGAGGACAAAATTAAATTATACTTGTTGAATGCAATCGTTTAAATTTAATATCAAGTATTAAGTAAAATCACTTCGTTAATTAGCTTAATTGGGTTGAATAAAAAAAAATAGTCCATCCATTATGTGGAATGCCATTGAATCGAATAAATGCACTTCTTTTATTTATTTGCTAAATGAAATTTCGAAAACATTCGCGTAAAGAGAATTTCTGATTGTTACCAGTTTGCAAGATGTAAAACCTATCTAAAAACTTTTGACAAAAAATCAAATGAAATCTTTCTTGAACAAAGAAATCAAGTTCAAGTCTGGCCGTCTATTTCGAGCCCTGATATCGTAGCATTTCATCATATTTTACAAATTATAAATTAACAACTGAACGTAAGTACTTCTTTATGATAGACCGAGTATTGTTTGTCAGTTTTTGATACATATACCCAAACATACTGATCATTTTATGTGTAATATTATTGGCTACAAAACAATGCACTTTATTATTTTTTTGATCAATATGTTCTATCGACATTTTTAAGCTTGTTTTGAAAAAAAAAGCACAAAAATGTTTTTTTTTCTCAGTAGAACATTGACAAAAAAAAAGAAGGTATGTCACCTTTTACCCGCTAATGTAATACTTAAAATGAGCTATATGGTTGTATATATATCAGAGACTAAAACAATATTCGGCGTTTAATAAGAAAGTACTTGTTTCTTGTTTCTATTTTATATTAAAATTTAGACAAAAAGAAACGTCTGAAAAACTGAAATTCTTTTGTTTTTGATTACTTGTTAAATCAATAATAAATTATAATATGAAATGAATCTTTCGATACTATCGAAAGTAACCATTCATTTCTGATTGAATAAAATGATCTATATAAGTATAAAATAATACACTGAATTGAAAGCTGCAATAGTTATAGCAAATTACTATTCAACGTCAATATTCGAAATAGACCGATAATCTATAAAGCTAATTTAGATTAAATGAAATGAGTTTAAACACTTAGTGATAATTACTGATGACTGAATAATTTTCAAAAGCTGAAAACTACATTTTTTTTTAATAATGTTTACCTCCCTCCCCTCCAAAAACCGATCAGTTATTTCTTTCTCTAAATATACTTTAAGTACGACAGAAATTTGATGTTTTAATCATTTTGACAAACTTTTTCAATTATATTCAATGAATAAATTCAATAGAAGACGTTTAAATTTTGCTTTTTTAAACTAATGACATGATTTTTTTAAAAATAGATTCATTTGTCATCTGATTGTCAACGACAATGGTTTCCAAATTATACAGATGATCCTCCTATAGATGTAAAACTTTATCCTCGGTTATTATTTCCTGAGAAATTATCACCCGTTCATATTGATTGGGTTCCATCGGATTTCAATTCGAAAGTTTCTAATGTTCAATTATCAATCTATCAAAATAATAAATTATCACCACGTCCATCTTATTCTCTTCTTCGTTCAACTGATCTTCAATCTCATACAACAATTTATCAACGTTTATCATCTTTTTTCTCTCATTCAGAGCAACCTATTCAACCACCACCACCACCACCACCACCACCACCACCATCATCATCATCATCAAATATATTTTTCGATATGTATACACCAACAAAACATTTTCGTAAAAGTCAACCAGGCTCACCGGATTATAATATACAAATAAAAAATGGTAATGACGAATTTAATTTTGAAGAATTTTATAATGAACAGCAAACCAACACTTTAACAGCTGTTGTTCATAATGGTGATCTTTCTTTTTATTTATTTAAACCGTTCGATCCACTAGAAACATTGCTATGAAAATAATATATATATATATATATATATATCTTTTATTTTTCTTTCTAGATGTTAACGATGTATTATTGGCCGATAAGTTTAATAATAGGTTTAATTACTCTTAATTGGTTTCGATGTCGATATAAAAACTTACGTTACCATTCTATTGCACGTCAATGTGCACAAAAAAAACGACTAATCCGTGACAAACGTCGAGAGGAATTATTAAATCTTCTACGAACAAAATATTCGAAATATCTTCCTGATCGTTCAACAGCTGAAAGAATTTTTCAATCAACAGCAGTTGAATTATTACATGGTCTTCGTAAAAAAGATTTTACTTATACACAAGTTACACTTGTTCTTTCACTTCGAGCAATTAAAATTGGACAAAAACTTAATTGTACTACTGAAGAATTTTTTGATCAAGCTATTGAACATGCTCAAAAATTAGATGAAAATGATAATGATCAAGATGAACTTTTACTTAAAGGTATACCAATTAGTTTAAAAGATATAATTGATCAACAAGGAGCTGATTCATCAATGGGTATAGCTATGAGAAATTTTCGACCAGCATTAAAAGATAGTCTTATTGTTCAATTACTTAAAGAACAAGGTGCATTTCCTGGTTTTGTGCGTACAGCAACTATACAAGGAATGATGTTACCTGATACTGAAAGTGAAACTTATGGAGTAGCACACAATCCTTTCAATCTAGCATGCACGCCAGGTGGTAGTACTGGTAAATAAATTATTGAAAACAAAAACAAATTTTACTAACATTCAAACTCACTACTTTTCTAGGTGGTGAAGCAGCTTTAATAGCTNTGCACTGGTTGTCTGGCTAGTTCAGGATTATTATACCCCATGTTTTCTTGTAATAATGAACGCATAACAAAAACAAATTTTACTAACATTCAAACTCACTACTTTTCTAGGTGGTGAAGCAGCTTTAATAGCTTCTCGTGGTTCTCCATTAGGAATCGGTACAGATATTGGTGGAAGTATTCGTATTCCGGCACATTTTTGTGGTGTATTTGGTTTTAAACCAACACCAGGACGCATCACAAGTGCAGGTGTAGCTGCTCCTAGTCTTAAAAATGAATTGGGCGAACGTAATATTCGTGCAACTGCTGGTCCATTAGCTCGATGTACTGATGATCTTGTTCTTGTTATGCGTTCATTATTACAAGAAAACATGTGGTATAATAATCCTGAAATAGCCAGACAACCATGGCGAGATGAACGTTTTATGGATAAAAAACGCTTAACAATTGGTTTTTATACAAATGATAATTGGTTTCCACCTGCACCGGCTTGTATACGAGCAGTTAATGAAGCAGCTGAAGCTCTTCGTAAACTTGGTCATAGAGTCATTCCATATACACCAATTGATATACCAGAAGCTGTACGTATTTATGTTGGAATTATTGGAGCTGATGGTAGTCGTCATTTGCTTGAATCATTCGAAAATGAAGCAATCAATTCACTTTATAAACCATTACTTCAAGCTGCAAGATTTCCAAATTTTCTACGTCCATTAGTGGGTCGTTTAATGCGTCTTTTTGGTGAACGACGCAATGCTTATATTCTTCAGTCAGTTGGTTCAAAAAGTGCCTATGAATATTATGATTTAATTATTGACATGAAAAAATATGTCAACAAATGGTTAGATGATCTTAGAAAAAATAATATAGATCTTCTTCTTGTAAGTAAAAAAGAAAATTATAGGTTTTATTCAATTAAAAAAACAAAAAAATTGTTTTTTAAATAGACACCAGTCAATGGTTTACCAGCATATCGTCATGGTCAATGTAGCCATTTATTTCACTCATGTACTTATACATTTCTTTTCAATGTTTTGCATCTACCAGCCGGTGTTGTACCAATAACATTAGTTCGAGATGATGAACAATATTATGAAGATATTGGTCATTTAAATAATGATCGGGTAGTATCTATGGCTAAAGATGCATGCCGACAATCGGCTGGATTACCTATTGGTGTTCAACTCGCCGGTTGGCCAAATGATGATGAACGTGTTTTGGGCGTAATGAAAGAACTTGAAAACGCAATTGGACAAAGTCAATCACCAATGCCAAATTTTGCTAATGATATTGATATTTATACAGACTGAAATAAAAACTGACAGTTACATATTGTAGAGACCATATATGGACTACATTGTTTACCATAACTTATCTTAGCATTTTTTTGTTTGCCATTTTATTTCTTTTTACATATTTTACTTGTCATCTAAATAGTATAGAAAAATAAATATATATTATTATATATTAGACATTCAAATGGATCGACTTTTTATAGATATGGCAGGTTTCTGATCGATTATACATCTTTTTCAAGTTGCATGTATCTATAATGCATGCTCTTTGACTTGACCTACTTGTCGTGGTCGGTGTATTTTTTTTTTACATGCTACTAATATAAAAACATTGGAAACGAAACAGAAAAATGTCTTGATAAGAACGTCATGTAAATAGAAAAATGAAATGATCAGACAAAACGCTTGTTGATTTAATACGCTTTTATTAATGAAACACGATAGAAAAATTTCATACATTAAAAAAGTCTATTTTCGATTAAAGATGTTTTTAATAGTATATTTCACGAATCAGTTACAGAAGACATACTTAAGCAGACAGGTATATCAAAAATGCATTTATTTTGAACACAACTTATGACTTGTAGTCGATTTTTCTTTCGTTTCCAAAAACACACAAAAAGGCCGTGCCTTTGTTGAAATTTTCGGATTTTTTAATTTTTTTTTGATCGTTTCTCGTATGTCCAGGTCGATCAAACGTGCTGACAAACTACCGCAAGTCGTCATATATTGGCATATTACATGGCTTAGTATTGTGATCGTATTTCTCCATATACGATATGAAGAAATATGGATCGTATACGGATTTTATATTATTCTCTTTTTTGATTATACAACTAATAGAGAGACCACTTCAACTAAAGATCAATGAATTTTTTGTTCAGCGTCTAAAACTATAATTTATTATCCATATTGTTTTCATATCAACTTAGATTTATTTCTATACAAGAAATATTTAATCTCAATGTGCAGCGGCGTCGTCACGGATATGGTCATTGGACCATCATCTACAAATTCAAAAGCAATTGCTCATGGATTTTTTTTTGACATGATACCAATTGACCAATGCTGTCCGCTCCTCAAAATAATTTAACTGGGAAACGGTTCATAATTTAAAAATTCCTCACTACTTCATTGGATTAAGCATTCACTTTCTATGTCACTTTCGATCTTATATTATTTTTCACTTTGTAAGACTTAATACTGCCAATGCTTGTTTATTTAAAAGACATTCATGAAAGAAAGCTTATGTTATTGAGGAAATATTTCTTTTAACAATAGACAAAAATTTTATTTGACGAAATTTCAACCTTACAGACACGATCGATTTGTTATTTTATCTTTTCCGAATCACAGAAAACTCTCCTAAGTGATGAATAATATTTTTTTGTTAGGACACGAATATATTACAAGTCGATACGAAGGCCGAACAAATAACAAGATATAAAATAAAAGATGAAATATTCAAAAAGAATTATAATGCGATTAAGTATAGAGACATTCATCGTTCATGCTCTAACAACATCTACAACTTATTGTGATTTTATCACATCAGCAGTAAAACTCAATTGGTAAGACTTTGCTTTACAAACGAATGTATCTCAAATGTTGAAAGTTAAGTAAAAGGATTTCTTCATTGATAGATTCGTTCTTGCAAAAAAAACAATACTCCTTTCGTTTTATTACCACATTTTGATATTTATTTGTTCAATTAATAAATCAGATGGGAACCAATGCTTAATATATATTATTACGATAAAGTAAATTAATTACATTCAATGTTTAGTGACTCTCATTGCGATGGGCATCAATCTTTTATTTTCTTGAAACTTGAAATTTTGCTTAATTAAATATTCTTTCGAGATAATTTTAACGTTATATTGTTGTTTATACGTCCATCTTCAAACTAATGAAACATTATTGCATCACAAATATAAGAAAACAAATTTTCTCGTGTTATTGCTAAGCACGGTGTAAATTTCTCATAAAACGGTTTTAAAAATGACCTTATATTTCTCAATTAAATTTAAATCTGGTAAAACATTGTTACTTCATAATTATTTTGTAATCATCTTCTTACATACACAATCTAAGGTAAACAGTTGATTTCGTCTCTCACCAAGATGATGAAACGCCACAGATCTTTAAACAAAAAATATTTCTATAGTGCAAAGAGAATTATTTGAAAGTCATAGACAAATCGAAATGGTCACCAAATAGTTTTCAACTAAATGTTTTGAAAGATCTTTTATCAAATACTACGATCAATAATTTACAATAGTATAAAATAAAAAGCAATACTTCCACAATCGATGACATAAGAAAAAGAATTCATTGTGAAACAAAAAAATAATCTTGTTCGTAAAACCTCGAACAAATGTCTTATGATATAATAATCCAGAACCGGTTAGCAGAACTTCTGTAGATATATTTTGTAAATCTTCGATGACGATGCGATAGGTTTTATAAATATTTTATTTACATTAAGATGATTTTTGATTAGCTTGCAAATATTTTCTTTCATTAATAAACAAAGATTGATGATTTTGATGAATATGAAAAAACACACAAGACAATAGTACAACACAAAAATTTTTCATTTCTTATAAAGACTGAAATTCAGTAAACGTGAATGAATGGGAAATTTATTCATATCGAATTCATAGAAAGTCGGAATTAGGTAGAAAAATCGAATCAGATGCATGATCAGTCCATCACAGATAATGTTGTATTTCATCAAAATGTCAGAAATATGCTAAATTAGCTGGGAAGATAAGACAGACAATATAACTGCAGACTAATATCTCATTATTTGGCATTCAAAAAGACATTAGATGAAAAATTAAAAGTGTACGTATTGATGATTTAAATAGAAACAACTTTTTCTGTAATCTATTAGTGGTTTAATGACATCAAAATCTTTATTTCTCTTATTTGCATTAGATCTGTGAAAAAATTAAATTAAATTTGAAACTTTGTTGTTTTCTGTATACAATCGTAAAAAATAAACTTTCACTTTTATCTATTTGAGAGCCGAAAAAATTATTCAATTTTTACATCAAATATTTTTACTCAAACAATAGATCGATTCAGTTTGCTATTCTGATGCCAATCATATTAAATGTACTGACAGAAATCCCCGTTATTCGGACGAAAACCGACTAAATCATAGTCACCAAGAACAACTTTTGGTACTCATGAGCACTGTGTATTATTTTTGAAAGGCATATTGAATGATATTTAATTCAAATTCGATCTCTCCTTTTCACAGTTTGATATTGAGAAGGATTTTTCATAACGTCTTCATATTCTACATACAAGCTAACAAAGTCATATGAAGCAAAAAGTGAAAGAGCAACACTTTGTCATATTTCTATATTCAATTCGATAGAGGAAAAAAAGGGCTTTTATGTTATGTATTAGTCGTAGTATAATAGTTGGAGACAGGAAAGAAAAAGTTTATATAAATCGTATAATGCATGGCGTCATACGAGACGGATATTATCGAGTTTTGAATCAGCCGTGAACAACCAGCCTCAATAAAGTCTAATAGCCTAATTTGAATGAACCATGATTTATAATACACTAACTGACTATTATGAAATTAATAAAGCCAATGTAGATAGAACAAGGTTATTTCATGGCTTAGTGTACCCCTCCATTATATTTACACAGAAAAAGATTGATAATATTTGTCGTACGCATGAATAGATTCATACAATATATAAAAATACACCATTTTCAAGGATGTATATTCATAGGTGGTCTACCAAGGCCAAATCGATAAAACAAACGGTATATTTTATGCGTTATCATGTACGATTTTTACGTTTAAGATAAGACAAGAAAATGTTTTCTTTCAAATTAAAAAGCGAGTCTAAAGACAATGAAGCTCAAAGTCTTGTTTACCAAAAAATAAAATTTTTTTTTTTTTTTCATCGTAAAATATCTTCATAACTGACTGAGTAGTAGATCGATGTGAATAACGAACAATTTTCGTATAAAAGAGAAAGAGAAAAAGCATATTTGTAATTGCATCATGATTTCAACTATTGGGCAGTAGATGCCCGATCAATTTTCTTGTGTCTTACCATAGAAAACTTATCAATGCTCGCGTGACGTTATTTACTTGACAAAAATACTGGAGAAAAGTATTGTATCGATGGTCTTGTAAAATCAGAATGTAGACCTCAAGATGAAAAGTTACATCAAGAGTTTGGTAACCACATTAAGTTAAATATTTCAGAACTTCTACCTAAAGTCGATCTTCGTTCAGAAATGACTCCTGTTGAAGATCAAAGGCAAACAAATAGTTGATATGTATGAAATATTTGACTTTAAACCATCATATCTATGCAATTTCTATTAATTTAGTACAGCGAATGCTCTTGCAAGTAAACAGGAGTTTAACGATGTAAGTCGATTATTTATTTATTATAATACTCAAGTTAGAGGCAAATCATTAGATAGAAAAATCGAAGATCAAAGTAGTAGTATAACATACGCTCTTGAAGAATTAAAAGAATCTGGTACGTATCTCAAATCAATTTGGCCGTACGATATAAAACAAATAAATCAACGTTCTAGTGTCGAAGCATTTGAAGCTGCCAAAAATAATTGGATAATTAATGCATTAGAAATTAACATAGATTTAAATGAGATGAAAATATGCCTTGGACAAAGATATGCGTTTGTATTTTGTTTAGAATTATATAAATCATTTGAGGAAGGAAAACAAAAAAGTATTATACCAATGTCAAAATCAGGAGACACGACTACAGACCAAGCATGAAAGGTTTGATTTTATTGGAATAGAAAAAAATTAAAATTAAAATTGATCATTTTAGTTATGCAATGTTAGCTCTAGATTATAATGATCGTTCGAAATTCCTGGAGACAAAATTGGGTAAACAAAAATCTCTTTGAAACAAATATTTACATTTCGTTTCATGTTAGGGTGGTAAAGAATATTGTGAAATTCCATATGACTAATCAGAATCTTTGTTATCAAGTATACGCTGTTCGTCAAGTGGATACCATTGATATCGGTCATGAACAATGAATGAATGATGATTTAATTGCTTATCATCCAGATAATGTTGCTGAAGAAGGAAACAACCAGGATAATTATAATATTATAGAGAAAAAGGAACAATATTATCAAACGATCAAGACAATGAATAATAGAATTTTGAGTGATAAAAAAACAGTAATCAATATAAAAAAATCGATGGATTTTGTTTTATCGATTGTAACAATAAACTCATAAAAATAACAAATTTAATTGAGGGAATTCTTTTTTTTTCATGATTTTACTTTTATATGCGAATGAACGAGTATTGAATAAATAGTTAGCTTGAAGTTTCTTAAACTAATGCACTAAACATGCTTCTTGAATTAAATATAAAGAAGCATTTATAACAAAGATCTGAAATTTTCTTCTGTTGAACAAATAAGTAGTAGAAATATTTATCTTCATTAAAGCAACATTAATGCCTGGATGGGTGTGGGTGCAGTTAGAGGGAAGACACTCATCCACGACCACACACCCACACCCTCTATTTTTGTTACGTAGTAATATTTCTATTACGTACTAATATTTGTATTGAGCATTTTGTATACGTGATACTATATCGTTATATATAGACATATATGTCTATGATGTGCATATTTCATTTTTTATATGTAAGATGTTAATATCATACAGCAAAGAAATGAGAATAAGAGTAAAGGTTTACGGTGTAGTGTTGGCTACGATAAATAATAATATTAAGATTGTATTTGATAGTTTGTGTTAAGAAAATGCACTCAATCGAAATCAATACTAGAACAGTAGCTATGACTTATTACGAAGTCCTGAAATGGACAGTAGGGATTCGAACTTCACTACTATTCTCAACAAAGATTTCGTACATAAGAGAATAGAAAATAAAGTTTGATTTTAAGTGATTGAAATTGTACTAGTTACCATCACATAAAAGTTTGATTTTTCAATTCAAAGATGAATTTTTTTTGGCATTAATCTTTCTTAATCGATTTCTTTCTAAAATAATTTCAACCGATAAAATTTTATTAACCGAACAAAAACAAAATCAGAACTAAGTTCTATGGAAATTAATCTTTACAGATGAAGATCAGAATTAAACAGCGCCATTTGAATTGACAGGATGGATGTATTTCATATATATCATCAAGAGAATAGCCAACGAAATATATAATGAAGATTTTCTCAGCTGGTGTCTAAACGGTGCTAACGTACAAGGCACGTCCGTAACAATAACGTTTAGATCGATCTGGAATTTTACAAAACCTTCAAAAGGAATCTATGAATCTAAGATTTCTATTGCAGATGCTGACTCGTCTAAACACTGCGAATTTCAGGATTTAATGCTACGAAAGAATCTTATTTTAAGTGTTAATTAATAGGGCAGTTGTATTGTTGATCTAGTAGAATTCACAATAGGGTGCACTTAGAAAAGAACGAATTATTTGAATTCTAAGAGTAGGCAAAATAGAACAGTATGCATTATATTTGGTTAAGAGAAATGATTGTATTTGTCAAAAACTGACGTAACAATCAAATTAATGCTTGAGGTAAGCTAATAGAGTGTTGAAACCGACGAAATGAAAGATAAAATGATATTTGCTGCTCTCTGTAACATGTTTCATCTAGAGTGTCATTAGTAGAAAAGAAATTATGCATTGACCATGTATCTGACAATATAAATAAATTAATCCAATGAAACAATATTGAATGAATTTGATAAATTGGTAGAAGAGAAATTCTAAATGTAAATATTTTTCTAATGATAAAAATTCTAAGCATGCATATCAATTAGAAAAATTGTTTCAATTTGGATTTATTCGGTTAATTGACATTTCTTTGCTAAAATTATTTTTGAATCCTTCTGATAATATAACATAAATTTATAATAGTAAGAGTTTGTATGTTTCACACTTCGACTACCGATGGAAAGGCACCAAAAAAGGCTTTTATTAAGTTTTATCAGGGTATAAGTTTTCAGCCGACAAAAATATAATATTAAAACAAATTTCCTTTGTTATTTATGAAATTAGAACATGATATGGTGCCTATTGGAAATGAAGAATCTCTGACGATCAGTCGAGAAAGAGTGCAAGATCTTGAGATCGAAAATTCCTAATATGAACCGATTTAGGCTGTGAATCAGAGGATTAAGTTTTCTAAACCGTTATAAATGCAGACAGAAAGCTTCGAGATTTGTCTTCTACACGAGTATGGCCTTCCATAACCGAATACTGACTGGAGTTAATCAACATCTGACAGAAACCTTCAGAGTCACAGTAATTATTTGAAACTTCTATCTAATATAAAAAAAATTATGTCATCTAGTTGATTTCATAAACAGCAACAAAAAAAAGAGATTATAGCACAGTCGACAAATAAAGCGAGTGACTCGAAATTTAGTTAATGTATTTTGGTTTCTAAAATTCGATTAATTTTCACTATGTGAATGTTTTGTTGTTGTACATGACGCTGTAATTGAACGTAGCGTTGTTACTAAATACCATAATCGTGCATATAGACATCGATACTTAAACCCTCACGATAATATATGTGCAAATTATTGATAATTTATTTTTCTCTCTATATATCCGATAACTTCGTCGTATAATTTATCATCATGTGTTACTAAGTTTTCATTATAATTAGATTCTTTTAATAGAACAATATCACTTTTCTTTTCTGTGACTTATTCTCAAGCAAAATAAATTGCTCAATCATGATCGAACTGAATTTCAGTCCTATAGTTTTATTTAACTTAGCAGTTTGAAAAAGTAAAAATATTTCCAAACTTCGACATTTCAATAATTCTCAAGTCGTATCCGGATTTGAGATCATACTTTGTACCACACATTATGCGAAACCACTGCTTCTATATTGCTCAGTATTAGATCAATGTGAAGAGTTAAGGAAATTATAATTAAAATCTATCATATTATTCATGTAATGAACCGGCTTTTTCCTAAGTAGTTTGATACAAACTTCGTACATACTGCTCTAGACAGATTCTCAGTTTTACTGTCGTACACTTGCTGAAGATATGTCAAGCCAATATATATTCTTTCACTATGGTTATGAAGATCTGAGTGTGGGTGTAGCTTCTGTCTACAACCACGTTCACACGTCAAAGTGAGATAAGATCCAACCAAACATCGACCTAGGCAAATCTTCGATCTGATATTGGATGTGCTCGAATTCGGATAGATGGAAAACAACTTTTGCTGAAACCTGAATTCGGCTATTGATCGATGTCAGAGTTGGATTCTTATAAATGAATTCAAGTCGATCAATGAGTTAGAATTTGCGAAGTTATGAACGGTTTTCAATTTAAGTAGTTTGTGTATAAGAGAAATTCGAGAGACTTATATGAGTACAAAAAAGATATCGAAATACTATAAAACTGTATGTTCTTTATTTTCAACGAGTAGTTTGTTCACAAGATAGAGAGGTGTATTCCAGGAATATGATGCTATTTGTAAATATATGTTTAGAAACTTTTTTCTGTCTTACGATTGATTACTTGTCAAGAATATTATTTGCACTAAACAAAAGAGACTTTTTTCATATCATTCATAACTTTTCTGGGTGAGATTCGGTGATAGTTTTGACTTTCTGGTATTATCGAGAATTTAATTTTCTACCAAAATCATAGATTATAGGTTTTTTCAAATAGCTACACTTTATGTGACAAGTCATTTTTCAAAAAAACGTCGTTTTTCAGAATCCAATAGATTTCAATCGTTTTGTAGGTTTATGTATGTTATAATAGAAAGAAATTAAATATTTTGTAGAGAAAGCTTGGGTCTACTACCTGGTGTCTAAACAAAATTTCTCATAGTTTTTATTGAAGCAAATTTGATCAAAATTTAAAACTGAAGTATGTGAAAAATTTGTACAGACGCTAGTTTTGGCATTCGTCAAAATTTACTACCAATGAATTAACTTTGAGCCTGACAAAAAAAGTTTTTAAAATAGAATTAGAAAGAGTCTGAAATTCTCTTTGTAACTCTTTGATTTTGATACTTCTCACCGACCAATAAGCGGATGAAAATTAACCAAACATATTTTGGAAAGACTTTTGCAACAGGGCTTATTATATTCATGAAGCATTGGCTTTCTTACAAAGGAGGATTTTATATTCTAAATTTAAAAAAATTAAAAGTATTTGAGCTAAATTAAAACACTTATCATCCGACTAATAAATGTGTTCCTCTTGATGTCTACAAATCGAGACAATCAGGTTTAGGATATTTTGCAGTATATGTCATGTGATCTTGATTAAAAATTTCAACAGAATTTATTATTCTTATTTTGGAATCATTGGATAGCGCTTGTCGAGTGGCATTCAAGAAATTATGATTCACATTAAAACTAAAAGAAACGTTTCGAAAGGCTTCAAGTTCCTATTATTTTCAAATATACGAAGAAACAGACACAAAATTCTGACCTTCGGAAAACTACTCTTTTTTTTAATTTTTAAAATTCACTTTTTCTTTTAATGTAATTTGACGAGACAAAGTGCTCTATTGTACTACGAGAAGAGAACGAGTAGATTTTAATGTTTTTCTTTGAAACTAACATTGAGAAATGACTCGTTTCATATGTTGATAAACAACTTTTAGTGAAGTTTTTCTCATTAATAGACTCTTTCTCGTCATTTTATTTATTTACTTTTTTTTAATAAATGCGTACACAAAAATTAAATCTGTATAATAAAAAAAGACACAAATGTTGAAAGTAAAAGTATACTAATCAATTATCATTATATCGTCATCTTCTACTGTTGCTTCGGTCGGTATTGCAGCTATCGTTGCTGGGGTTATTATCATGCTACTTGTATCTTCAGTTTGTTTAGTTAATTGTTGTTGTTTTTTTTGGTCTTCGATTGTTTGTTTGATTTGACCTCGTATACGTTCTTGACGTCGTTGTAAAAACTCGGTAACTTGTTTGGGTGGTTTAAATTCTTTTTTTCGCAGCCATTTATCGATTGCCTAGAAACAAAATTTTAAATTTAAAAGAAAAAAATTCATTATTATTCTATTTTTTTTTAATACTTCTTTTATATCTTGTCGAAATTTTTCAGCTAATGTTACATATTCATCTGCTTTAATCTGACGCCGTACATGTTCTTTAACAGCTTGATTATAATATTCTTTTATCTGTTCAAAATTTAGGTGTTCAGCTTGTCTATTGGTAAATTCATTTTTTAAAAGTTGTAATTTTGTTTGTAAAAATGCTAATTGATTTTCATTTGATTTAGATAAATCAGATTTAATATATTGATGAAAAAGACTAAATTCACGTGAACAACTTAAACGAGCTAATTTCTCTAAATCAGGTGCTTGTAAAGTACGTGATGTAGAGAGTAGTTTTTGTTTCGGTGGATTTGATGTTGTAGGACGTACATTAGAACGTGATGTAACATTACTTGGAGGTCTTACTGGTTTCGAAAGTGTTGCTGGTGGTTTTGTTTTTTTTGGTGCTTTAGGTTTTGGAGGTGGACGAACACGAACAGGCTTCGGTGGTTCAAGACCTTGAAAAATAAAGATTAAACGTTGAGATTGAGAAAGAAAAAAGAAAAACATACGTTTTTGAATTTCTCGTGTTTCACTTTTCGTAACTCGTTTGACTGTTCTTTCTTTACGTGATGGAAATTTAACGCCATAACTCGGTGTTGTTGGAGGTGTCATCTAAAACTAGCCGATAGAGTTCAGTACATTCGAGAAAAGAACGAAAAAAAAATCTGTCGACATTGATAAAACAGAATAAAAACTACGCCTTACTCCATTTACGTTCTTACTTGACTACGCAATCATAACTATTCGATGCGTAGCATATACACATACATTTTGTAGACGTACGCATGTAATAGCCCGAAACAGGCTTATAAAATAAGGCAACGATAATGAAAAAGTACTGCACTATATATTTATTCTTGCAAAATATTGTTGATTAAAAAGAAAAGAACTTTAAATTTTTTTATTACATTTATCTTTCATTCATACAAAATAAAAATCATCTAATAAATTCAAAATAACATTATATTTGAAAATGTAATTCAAAAGAAAAAAAAAGGGAGACTTACATTTGAGTACGGGTTTGTATTCTATATATTTTTTGTTCTACTCAGTTTGTGAACAGTGTTCTGTTGGTCGACAAAGATTGACGACAGTATGTAAGTAAATGTACGTAAAATGTGGAAAGAAAAAGAAATGCACGATAGTAATAACGACGATAGTGTTTTTATTATATCGAGTCTCAATTGCATGAGAAGGAAGAATCGGAAAATGTTTGACCTCTTATCAAAGGAATGAAAAAAAAAAGAAAAAACGATATAAATGAAACATGAATCTACTAGGCTATTTAGATTAAAGACGTCCTGATATTATAACCCCTTGTAAACTATTTACAATAATATTATCAGTCATTATGACTCTCGAATAGTTGATCATAAACAAAAGTCTCTCTCTTCCAATGTATCTCGACAAACATACATGCTATAGGTAGGTCAATTCTATTATTTCAGTTATCTACCGTATTAATGTCATCGAAGTTCATCAATTCTTCTTAGAATTTTAGCCACTTCTTCATGATCATTCGAATGAAGAATAACGATCTATTGGTCGTTGAAGGCCATAACTGAGTGATAGCTCAGTGAATCGAATTGAAACTTGTACGTAAATTGGTCTGTATTTGAGCATTATTACCGATAGATTTCATGAAAGAACCTTTCACTAAATGAAATCGAGATACGGATGACGGGAGACTTCTATCTTCTACTGTATAACTCAAAAATTTTGCAAAATAAACAAATATTAAGAGTGATCAAAGTTATGTTCTTCTAACAAATGACCAATTAATAATAAAGTACATATTTCTTGTTCGTTCAAGACTTTTTTACACTAATCTTAATTCAAAAGTTTCCTATAATAATTACTGATAGCTGTATGCTATTGTCAATAAAACACATTGGTTTATATTGCACTGAGATGTATAAATTAAAACCTTATTTGAAAAAAAGAATGATACGATCAACCCCAAGACTAATCTTTTCTGGTAAGCAAATATGAGGGATCTTGTTCGATCTAATGCACATGATTAGTAGCTTCATTTAACATTAATTTAAATCCAATGATATATATCAATAAATGTACTAATAATAAATGAAAATGAAACAAATTACTTTTATGTTGATTGAAGAGAGTAAAGCATTTGAAATTCCGCGATATGTGAATCGAAACAACAATAGCTGTGTAGATATGCTATATTTATTTGTACTTTTTTGCTTAAATTAGGCTTATAAATCAGTTTCTAAGATAACGATTGATACAATACTCGAATCATATGAATAGCTTAATGTTTTAATTCGGCTTTAAAATCTGACAATAGACATTTGAAATTTAATTTAGTTAATTATGGTAGTATGTGTGTTTCATCATTCATATAAATTTTCACTCAAATTACTAGTGAATTTTAAATTGAGTTGCACTAATGTAGACATATATATTTCTTTAGAAGCATTAATAACTAATTGAGATCTATATTTTGGCATGTACTTAAAGATTAAGATTATGAAACTAGCGTAGCATTGATCAACTTACGAAGGAATTCATCCAACAGATAATCTCCATTGAAGCTTTTATTTTGCTCATACTTAGGATTCATAGTGCAGATAAAAACTTTGAACAGGTTCAGGTCACTAAATCTTCTTTCTCAAGTTATGGTCATTTTATTGAACGTTCTGTCTATTGCAATAGATCATGAAAAATATCGCAACAAGGAGCTTCGTCTTGGAATTCTCTCCAACAATAAATCTAATGATTCTTATGATATTCTGAAAATTGTATCTCAAACGAATGTTTCCCATCTGAGATAACATGTTGGCATAAAATGTTGCTGTCACACAAAAGCTTCAAGAATAGTCAGGTTTTATGCTTACGATATCTTAAGAAGAAATCATCTGGTAGAGCTAAAACTTTCAAAATATCATAAAAGGCTGAAAGTTCGGCAAAATGATGATAACTAGAGGAGAAAAGCTTAACTTCTTAATCTTCATAGCTGTTCTAATTTTCCATGATTTTTTTTCTCGAAACTGCTCTAATTCGTTTTAAATTTGTCGAATAATTCTGGTTATCCGGATTCTATTATACGACAAAGCCTCAAAAGCCAATATGATCGATGTTATATGTACAATTGACTAAACACATTAGTTTACTACATTCAGAAATTCATAAAAAACAACAAATCCTTTATGATAAATTCATTGGGATATCTATGATACCTATCATAGAACAAAAGTACATTTGTCATTTACAAATAACACCTAAATATCATCGATTTGCTTTGTCACTGACAGATTTATATTATTGATCTATCAATTTCGTGAAACATGATCTAAACGGTGTGCTGACGTATAAGGATAAAAATTTAGACTTAATCTTTCTCCTCACGGACCGTGACAGCCGTTGTTGATATACGATCAAAGGCCATATATAAATAACGTCTCGTTATAATATATGAACTACTTTCTTATTGCATTTCTGAAGAATTAAATAAAACAACAGTGAAAGAAGAAATGTATTCCAAAATGAATAGAATAAAACGATTTCTTTTGTGATTAATAGCAGCAGGTACATCATGTTTCACATTTCAATTCTACAAGGATTGCGCTAACACCTTTTTATTAATGTTTATATAATTCTTTCATATAATACATATATATATTTATAAAGATTTAGAACGTATTGCCTATCGATATTATCAAAATATTTTTATTTAGAATTTCAGAACGTTCACAATTGTTTACTGTCATATTTTTAATATCATGAGTGTTTGAGTAATATAATGAAAGTTAAATTTTTCTAGATGTACGTTCGTCTTTATTATAACTACACATATCACTGTGGAAAGTTTTTAATGCATCACTAATCTTTCTTTCCTTTTGATATCATGCATTGGAATACTGATCACATGTAGTTTTTCTACTTGTTGAACTTAGAAATTTCGATTTGTTTTTCTGTTCTGCTCCTGTGATTACCCAGTTGGATATAAAGATATGTACATATTAGAACATCTTCACTTATTCATTGGATAAAAATATAATTACGCAGTTGAATTCTATTCTAATATCTAGACATATAAAATAGCGTAATTTATTGAAATACATAATAGTAATCTTAAGAAAAAGTTCGTCTACTCGACAATTTACCGTACAACTAAAAAGTTGCATAATTATTTTTTCTCTTTACAACATTTACGTATTGTTTTTTCGATTATTATATCGAAATGGTAAGAGTTTAATTTGATGCTTAATTTAATTATTTATTCCTATGATATATAGCCACCAAAAGGAAAGACTGCTGAAGAAAAACAACATCAAGCTCATTTGAATAATCATGCTAATCAATTAAATTCAAACAATGAACGCTTTCATGAAAAACATGAGCCGGAAGGTTGGAGGGAAAACAAAACAGCTATGGATTTTCGTGCAAGACAATTGAATCCTTGCGATCCAATTTTTCAAGCACCAAAAAAATAAAAAAATAAATGTTCTTATATTATTTGTATTATATAAAGAACAAATAAAAGAAAGACATATCACTTATATTTATATCAAATATCTGTGATATCTCACAGGATGTTGCTAAATCTATTTTGAATTAAAAAAAAAAGAAATAGAGATTGATCATCTATTTAAGAGGACAAGTTATTAGTAAGAAAATTAGATTCAGTTATTATTCCTAATGCATTAGTCGAATGTTTCTCGGACAAAAAAAGTACTTTTTTCCGATTCATTTTTTCATTACCAAATACGCTGTGTTAAGAAAAAACAAAATATACCACAAGATACAGTGCGAAAAGCTCTGTAATATACGAAGGACTTTTTGTTTTCAAAATGGATAAAATTCTCAGTCATTAATTTTTTACACTTCGAAAAAAAAATTTTTTGGTACGTGGTGAAATCCTTTTCTTATGTCATCAATTATTGAATCATGGTTTTTAATTGTATCCCATTATTCGACCATTGAATATGACTTTCGATACAACTCCTTAACTAAAATAATAAGAAAAGAAATTGATCGTGCACCAAAAAATGATCTAGTTCGCAGTGCCAAAAATTAGTCGCACAGGATTTTGTCTATTTTGAGAAAAAAAGTGCAACTATAGAATAAGCTGTTCTGTGTAAATTGTGGAGCTTTTCACGTTGCATCTTGAGATATATTTTGTTGTTTTAACACAGTGTATTAGGTGATGAAAAAATGAATCGAAAAAGGTTTTTTTTGTCCGAGAGAGAGTTCAATACCGATTTAAGTAGAATCGAAAATTGAGGTGTTAGATGTTTCTCTATTTCAGGTAAAGTATTAGTTGACTGAAGTATTTGTTGATTATGTTTAATGTCATATAGATAAATAAATTATTCTGATTCTTATGTACAACACACTAGACCTTCCCTTTTTGTCTATGAACCAGTTTTCAAAATCTCAAGAATTTTTGTACATTTTATGGATGCCACGAAGATCATTTTTCGATACATAAAACAACTGTTTTATTAAAGATATTCCTTGAAAGTGATAGTGTATTTTTGATTCACAGTCAATTCTAATAGGTATAAGTTACCGTTCAGCAGCATAGTTCAAAGCATGTGAACAAATTTCTTTCCTTTTCCATTTTGTCGTTTGGTACTGTTGAGTTAGTTCCTCTTCTCGCTTTATACTGCCTAAGGAATTCGCCTTTAACATTCTCTGTTTACGGATGAAAATAAGAGAACGATGTGATAATTCATGTACACTGTTAACAGTTCTCTTTCTCCATTTTGTACCATCAGGAATTTGATCATATTTATTTCGTTTAATCAAATGACTGTTTTCATGTTATACTATCGAAGAATGTGGATTATTGTCATCTTCACTGCGTGAAACTTGTCTCTTCATTGCCGTCGACTTTGCTTCGATTGTCTATCTTTTTTTAATCTTTCCGTTATGAATACATAGTGTGTCACATTCAGTTGCAGTAAAGTTTCGACAAATTTAATAAACAAATACGTTACGTTATTCATTATGAAATTAATAGCTAATAAGAATAGTGTGGGTATGAGTGTCAGCGGATGTGGGTGACGTGAAGAGTAAAACTCATATTCACACCCAAGCTGGATATTCCCAGCATCCACTTAACAGAGAACGAAAAGGTTAGAAGGCTAACTACACGGGACTGATAGCGACAGTATCTGATTGAATGACAATATGGCTCAAAGTATAGCCATCTTACATATATTCTCTGATATTTCAAAAATATATGTGGGCACATGGCTGTACACGAGACTGCAAGCGAACATACAAACTTATGTAATTTTTCCTGTATGATTCTCGTTTCAATCGAGAAGAAATCATTGCTTTCGTACAAAAAGTCTTTTCCTGACCAAAAAGAAAATTAAACTCAAAATTTTGAGAAATCGATTACAGATTCAGATTCCTCGACCCCTACTCTCTTTGGTCAAAGTTTAAAACAAATTGCTATATTTATATATATGAACACGTGACTGTTAATGTGACTGAAAACAAAAACACAAATACACACGCTCATTTTATTTCACGTGATCCTTCCTTCAGTTGAGAGAATCATTTTAGATTAAACCCATTATTTACCTGCTACTGTAACATTAGTAATATTTATATATCAATGGGACTTTTTTTTAATCACTTTTACAAAAGTCGAAAATTCATGCGAACAAAAAATCTTGTTTTTATTTTGAAAAATAAAATTCAATATATATCTTATCCTGCACTGTATACAATTACATATTGCAAAAAAAAACATTCCATTGACATACAAACAATAATAATAAAAGTTTATGTTTGTAGTATAAGAATATTATCCCTTAGATTCTTCATAAACAGAAGAGTACGCTTCTGGTTGTGAATGTAAAACCCAATATCCTCGGTTACGTGTGAAAATGTCGTTTGAGGTTGAGTTTGATCAAGATTATGCTTTTGAGTGAGAAACGACACCCAGTAAAATTATAATATTTTCTCTGTTTTGTGTGTCGAATGCAAAAATAAAAGTATGCTATTACGTATTATACTCCATACTCTGCCGAATATTCAAATGATTCTTCATCACCATCAATTAATCTATGTGAATGACGGTGGCCAGAGCAAATAAAATGACGGTAATATGTGTATAAAAAAAACGTAGTATATGAGTAATAATCCATCCTCTATTCATCCATATATAATCGCTTATGCGCAAAAGCTAAATCTACTTCGTGATGTATAAAATAAGCAATATATTGCTTTACTCTCACTCATAGAACAACGTCAATATATTATACTACTATTCAGGTGGCAGACACAAAACGTTTCGCACAAATTTAACGAGTAAGTTTATGTTCTTGAAGTGGATATCACGGTCTCCATGTAGAATCATTAATCTTCTATAGTGCTATTTCCGTATTACTGTAATTGTTTTTCTCGTACAGAAAAAATTCTGAAATTCTTTCCAAAATGAACAGCACAGGTTAGCTGCCATGAATTCATTTTCTTCACAAAGCATCTGTAACATAGATTGTCAAGCCTTCTTGTGAGTGCTATCATAGAAATACAACCACTTCGTATTGTATTCCTTGATCGTTCGAAATGATTCGGCTAGCTGAAAACTAAATACGATGCTGTGTCGAAAGCAAGTGTTCCATTAAATTTTATGAAATGTGTTTTCTGGAAGTTGATATTCAGCAAAGAATATGCTCAGAATAACTACTTTGGAACAAATACTTTTGACAAAAAATATCTACAAAACTCTAATTATGTTATTTTATGCTGGAATTGCGTTTGAAAATTATTTGAGAATATGAGCAATAAAATTCGAACTAGTAGGTCTTGAAAAGACCTATTTTCTCTAAAATGTCTCTGTGCTTAGAATTATCCAAGGATTTTTCAAGTCATAGTGATCAAATGGGATAATGGAGTCATTTCTGACTTATGTTATTTGAAACATTTTGACGAAGATAAAAATCATCTAAAAGGATTGTGCAGGAAAAGAATACAAGACAAATAGCCATAAATACATTACAATTTGAGTTCGCTATGATTCGATGACGCCTAGCTTTTTGCTTGGTATCTTTTTAAGTTTTTATATTTTCGAATGAAATTTTTTCCGAAACAATCAGCATGCAACACTTTTGAAAATGCTACAAGAATAATTCTCCTAGACATAAAAGCAACGAAGCTGACACGTAAATGTTGCGAACATGGAAAGTCAACTATTTTCATGATTCAATCGAGCTTATTTATATTTCTATGCTCCGATTTCTAACCATAGGAGCGAATTAAACGAATATTTCTGTCATGCTTTGAAAGTTGCTGCCTGTGAGTATACATAAGGACTCCTCCATCAAAAACCAATAGAGTAAAATAATTGTTAATTTTCATGAATTTTTCAAAATATCCGTGTCGTTTTTATCTTATTTTTCTCGCTTTTTGAGAAATGCAGGTGAATTGCCAAAGTAGTCTTTCGTGTTTTGATATGTTCAAACGTCATAAAACGATACTATGCAAGGCTAGCTAGATTCTGAAGTAATGCGACTGCGAATAGTTTATGTCGAAATGATAAGGAGATGCATACAAGACCAGAACTACGTAGTTCTTTAAAAAATAAATAATTGACTACTGTTTTACTTTAAATGAACTCTCATTTATTATAAAAGTAACACTCGTCTATGCGACTAATTTGATCCTCAACTGACTGTTCAACTATTTCTGTAGAAAATACTACTTGATAAACCCAATCAATACTGATGCCAAATATATGCAAACAGCTAGGTGTAACTGTGAGCTCGAGTGTGGATGTTGATATGCGTGTCGATGCTGTTGTGGTTGTAGCTGAGAGTATCCGTGTTGTCCTTCTCTTCATCTATTAAAGCTATCACGCTCATACCCACACGCCCAAACCCATATACCGGAACTCATATCCTACACTCACACTCATATTGTGTGACATAGGAGCCACGTTCGATCATCTGAATCGATGCAATCAAGCATTAGAACAAATTAAACGAGCCTTGAAGGGTGCAAGAAAAATATGTCCTGCCCTTCGTCCGCAAATGATTAAGATGTCTAACATTGCCAATGAGGTTTTGTAAAATTATGCAACTTGACGATTAAAATTCTTTCGTTACTCATTTTGTATCTTTTCGTTCCTTTCTTCAATTTTTGTGTGAAGAGAATTCGTGTAGATTAGGTGACGTCAGCTGTTGTTAGCGAACATCTAGTCGTCATTGCATGAACTCGTCCTTGTTATGGTCAACAACACGCTATACCTCAATGTCTCTTTCAATTGATGGATAAAATTTTGTTCACTCTTGTTTGATCGATTTATCGTCTGTTCCTAGTGATCTTTAAATTTTTTTTATTCTTCCTTGTTTTCTTCATTGCCTCTTATTAGTTATTGTTGTGCATATGTGTGCAGCTTTAACAGCTGGCGTAACAAAAGTTGCTCTTTTTGTTGTTGTTCTACCATATATTTTTCACCTGATTTAATTTTGAAAACTTGCACTCGGTAATACTATTCTAGAATATACAATAGAATTTTTATCAATATTGGCCATCAAGTGATCGTTATAAAAAGCACTCCTGTGTAACGTATCAAGGAAAAATCGAGTGAAAAATAATAGCATGCTAGTCCATTTCGTTTTTCTTTCTTTCTCATTGCCATTCGTCGTGTTCGGATCTGGTATTACAACACACATCGAAGTTTCACATCGTGCTCAAGAACTTTGGTTACATCAGCCTATTTATCAACAATATGTTCTCCAATATCAAGATGCATTGCAAGCAGGATCTCCATATCCTGATATTATGTACGATAGTTTATGTTATGGCGGCAGTTTACATCAAGTGGCTGAAGACACTCATTGGTAAGAAGAATCAATCGTTTCGTTTTCATAATAGTTATTGTTTTGTTCATAATTCAGGTATCCATTTATGAAAATTGCCATCGAATATATGCGTAATCGACATCCACCACCACTACAATCTAATGATGTTGATGGACAAAAGTTACTTGTATTTCTACTCGGTGTGGCTTCCCATCAAATAGCTGATGCTGCATGGCATGGAAATTTAACAGACTGTCCTAATGGATTTATTGATGCAACAGCATGGGAGAGTTTTAATGACAGTCGAGAAATGGCACATTCAAGTGATGATACAGGCGGAGATTGTGTTATTAATTATGAGTTACCAGTCGGTTATATTGGTAAAAGACAGAAAAACTAATTCTTTTTTCTAAAAGTGATCTTTCTATGGTTCATAGGGCTCATCAATAACTGGTATGTTCCAAGCAACGAGCTTGAAGAGATCTATGCACAGTATGCCATTGCCTATAACTCATCACTTGAAAATAATGCTACTGCTACAACTATTCAGACCTGTTCTGATGTTTTGTTCGGTGGACGATTTGCTGATGCTCTTCTTCTTGGCTTTGAATACCCAACCTACTCAAGCGGTAATAGTTTTCTACTTGATCAATTACATGAATACTACTATGGTGGTTTACCAAATATGGCTCGGTTGACAGTTCGATATTGGGATCAAATTATTGCAATGTATGAACATGGAATAGATATTTGTACATTGACTGGTATTAGTCCATACTATCTCAATTGTATCGTTCCTAACAATTTCACCCAACAACAACAGCAAGAATTGACATCGTACGTTCGATCAGCACCTTCAGGATATTTACCTTATTCAGACCAATCTTTATCATTATTGTTGACAGTTGGTGACACCGAGATTACCACAGGACTCATTTCAAATCAAAGTTATGCTGCATTTGGTCATGCAACACTCTTTGGTGATTTTAACGGTGATAGACTTACCGATCTTGTTGTGTCAGCGCCCGACTATTATGTACTTGGATGTGTGCAAGGTGGTCGAGTGTTCATTATCTATGGTCAAATGAATCGTTCTCTTGTACCTGATCGTAAAATTTCAATTATTGAAGGACTTGCCAATCAAACACTTATTTCACCAGAATGTGATGATGATCGATTTGGTTCAGCATTGGCTTGCCTTGATTGGAACAATGATGGATTTGATGATTTGGTCGTTAGCAGTCCATCACATGGATTCGGCTTTCGTGGAGCAGTATTTGTGTTTGCTGGTGATACACAAGGTCTTCAACTTCAACCATATATGCGTATTGACGGAGTGAATGAACATGATGAAATTGGATTCGAACTGCTTACGGCACATCTCGACAATGATACCCAATTTGATTTGATCATTACTAGTCCATACGCTCAACCGAATGGTTATAATCAACCACAACAAGGAGCTGTTTGGATCTTCCTGAGCTCTGACCATCATATATCGGATAATGAACTCACTATTGCCAATGCATCGTTCACCATTTGGGGTGAAACAGCAAAATCGAAATTTGGTTATTCACTTGAAATGATTCCGCCGTCATGCATCAACAATGTGACCTATCCTGTTCTTATGATCAGCGCACCAGCTGATCAGGGTAAACTGTTCGTATACTCATTTCAACCCGAGCCCCATCTCATTGTTACTCTCTCGGGCAAACAAGAAAAGGATCGTTTTGGACAGAGTTTTTCAATTTATAAAGACAAATGTTTGCTCGCTGTCGGATCGCCGACCCGTCTTACCAACTGGTACGGTGGTGTTGATGTTCTTTTACTATCCAATCTATTCCATCAATCAAATATGCATCTCGAATTAAGTAATATTTCTGTGCTTGTCTCAATTTATGGTGATATGATCTTTGGACGTCTTGGTACAACAGTTCAATGGACACCCAACGGTAATTTATGCATATCAGCTCCGCTTGGCAAGAGAAGCTCTCTGCCATTGCAGTTGGAAAAGTCTATAGGCCGTGCGTATGTCATATCCGCTAATAAAATCCCAGCACAACCCAATTCAGTGATGCGATCAATAAAACAAATAAGTACTACGACTTACGTCGCTCAGAACCACATGAATCGATTTGGTAGTCGTACTAATATTCTTTCTTCAACATCCGCCTCCTACTATGTCATTTCATCACCCTTTACGACCATATCTGACAATGTTCGTCTGCCTGGCATGTTATATTTTTTATCGTTATCACACTGACTTTTCTTTTTATTCTAAAGAGTGAATCTGGACACAATAATAGACTGTCTTTCTAAATAAAGCATACGATAATTTTGTTCTTGTAGGTAGGATCAGTAGTCGATGTTCATATTTGTTCTTCATTGGTGACCAACAAATTATCACCTGCTATAGGGATGACAATGTAGGCATCCATTCACCAATTGCATCTCTTAATAAGCAAACTCTTCTGAATTCGGATAAGTGATGGGTTTGCCAGTTTTGTAGAACATGATTGGTTCTATCTCTTGACATATGAGACTTTTTTCCCGGCATTTACTAGAGCCAATTCAGTGACTAAGCGTTGTCTTGTGGTTTTCGGTGGTGATTTTTAAGACTTTAATTCAGCAATGCTCAAGATTAACTGAAGTAAAATTTCTCAAAGTTTCACAACATAAACAAGTCTCAACTAATTGAGTAAGATATCTGATCGAATCAAAAGTCTGCTATGCTTCTTCTCCCCTAGCTAATGGAATCGCTATTGATCCGAATCATACATATATATATGCAATTGTTCGTATAGAATTTTATTGTTTCACGAGGGTGCGCTTGAAGCATTTTCTTGTTGAATTGGTTGTCATGAAACATTCTTGTTAACATAATTCCAACACACCCATTTTCATCAGAACTTGTCACTTCAAAGTGAGAAAGGCTGGTTTTCACAATCAAACTCACGAATTTCACAAACTCTTCCTGTTCTCGTCGCGATGGTCTCAATAGTAAATATCAACAAAGGAGTCACACATTATTTCACTATATCGGAACACATATTAATTGTAATTTCGTAATTTATTCTCACTGCTCAATAGACTCCGATATTTGTGCGGATGCTTATGGATCGTAGGTTACTATTTTTCACATGAAATTATCACAACTGTCCCCGAATAGCAAGAGCAACTTTGAAATGAAATATGCAAAGTGATTACAAGATACTTCGAATTAAAACTTGAGAACACTGATACTCTCTGGTAACTGTTTGCAAATATTTCTTGGCTCACAATGTGCTCAAGATTGAAACCGGAAAGCCTCATGGGGACTAGTAATTGAATCTTAAAAAAAAAAACATTCCCAACATATATCTTCTATGATTGATGGAATTCAATAGTCTCAGTGTTAACAAAATCTCGTAGGACTATCCATAACATCTCTGCGAATATCATTTCAGATCGATTTTCTCACTCTCATGTTTTATGTGAACTAGTAAAGATGGGATTAATAATATGGTGTTGTCGTTTTGCCATCGTATGTATGCACCAACTACTCTAGAAAAATGACGTAGAAAGAATAGGAAGGAATAAAATGTTTGAGAAAACAGAAGAACAAAAATATCAATATTGCAGAAAAAGCTATTAGTACAATCTCTGTGGAATTAAAATGTGAAACACAATGTATCTATTTTTGATAATCACATAAACATTGTTTTATTCAATCTATTTTGACATATATTTCTTTATCATTGTTTATTTAATCCTCTCAAACTGAAAAATGGAAGTAGTTGATATATTCTAGTGAGATGTTAGTAATAAAGGGTGTTCTATAAATTTCGAGCTGACTTTTGTTAATTTTCTATCTTTGCTGTATTAAAAGACAAACAAATATTGATTTTATATCTAAGCTATCGTCCAAGAGGAACTGCAATCAATTTGTGTTATAAATCCTAAGAAAGTGCAGCACCGGTGAAAATATTGAAAAAATTTCATGAAGTTTTTTATAATTTTTCCATTTCAGAATTCGAAATAACAGCTGCCACTCACTATGTGTCACTTTTGTAGTTCTTTTCTTGTTGTATGGTATACAAATCGAGAAATTTTTTTTTCATGTGCATATAGGAGACAATAGCACCGTATTGTCGTGACCAAACTATAAGGGGTGACAAGTTTAATGACTAAATTATGCCACCTCAGAGCATGCATGAATATCAAACTTCACAATTAGATAATGTTTCGTCTATTGAAAACGTATGGCCCATGAGTGAAATTAAATCAGATCAAAAACGAAATCAACAAAATTTGAAGAATTTTTGAGATCGATGTGTGCTAAAATAATGTTAAGTATGCCAAGAAGATTAGAAGCAGTCGTCAAAAATAAAGGTAAAATAATTCGTAAAGGTGATTATTAATATTCTTTTTATTCTCTGTTTGTTTTCGTTGTTGTTATTATGGATTTTAATGCTAAACTAGAAGAAACTCTCACTTTTTATGTGTAAAATAAATATGTTATGCAGAATATTACAAAAACAATTAATGAATTTTTTAAATAGTTTCATTTATGCAGCACCTTCCTCGGAGTAATGCAAATAGGTTGCAATTCTTCTTGAATAATAGCTTAGATTCTACTCTTTTGAAATATAAAGCAAATGTTTGTTTACCTTGAAATGCAGAAAAGATAGAAAATTAACAAAAATCAGGTCGAAATTTATGAAACACCCTTTATATCTTTAGTTTATAACGTAAAGATAAATAAACATCCCTACGCATATACACACATGTTCTAAGACTATCTATTATGAATAAATTTTTTTTTGTCTACTAATTAATAATCTACGTAAATTATATTCTCCTACTCAGTTTTAATGGTGAATTAAAATAAAACTCTTTCGAAGAATTCACAAAAATAGGCAATAAAACGAGAGGACTTTGTGAACGAAAATTATTTGTAGTTATACATCTGATGTTATTGGTTTTTTGAACTTGTTTACTAGCAACTGAGTAATTTAATTGAAACAAAAAAAAAGAATTAAGCCGTAACCAGTTCGTCAAGCTCTATGAAATCATATAGTAATAAATTAAAGTGAAATTTACTCGAATTCTGTGTTTCTTGAATGTTGCTTATTATTGATTCATGATTTATGATTTGTTTAGATTATTGATTACTTTAAAACTTGTCTAGTTGTTGAGTGAATGAGAAAATATTATCAATATTTAGATCAATGGATTCCAATGCTTTGATGTGTGAATTTCTGACCGAAACACTGTAGAAACTTAGAAGAAGGAATTTAGTGATTGTATCTGGTAGCCTGCTTTGTCTGGTTAAGATCGGTTTTGATCAGCAGAACTGAAAAATCTGATCACCGAATTCAATCACTAGATTTTTACTTCGAAGTTTTTACAATTTTTCAGAGTGTTCCGACGGAAACTGGCCATATTTCATCCATCTGGGTACTAGCTTTTGATCGGTTACGAGTAACTGAGTAGAAGTTTTTGCCTTTTTGTTCACGTTGATGCTTAATCCAAGAAATAACCGAAAGTTCATTAAGCAAAATAGAAAATAAATCTTACTACAAATTTTCGAGTAATATAGTGTCAGTAACAACGAGTATCTTTGTAGGATTCTGCAAGTCTTAATTACTTTTTCGAACGTAAGTGATTGATCATACTACTTTTTTCTATATGAAAACAAATTGCTCTAGACTTGCATAATATTATTTTTTTATTTGTCTTCTTTTATATTAGAGACGTAGCCCTGGATAAAGACCATTGGACAATTGCCTATAGATTTTTTGAAAAGATACCAATTGCTCAATGAAGAAAAATCTTGATGCACATACATGTACAAAGATCAAAATCTGGTCATTTTAATAAATTGTATCTTGTTGTCATTTAATCAAGTGCTCCCGAAAGATCAATGGGCTTTGTTTTTTGTTAAACCGATGGTCACCATGATGACAATTCAACGAAATTGTTTTCGTTAAAATACTCGTTAACCCACTTAAATACACTAATGGTACTATTTATGCTTCCTGACATAATATATTCAAATGTTTAAAAGCTAAAGAGTACATTCGTGAAACACTACAAAACAAATGAACCAACGTGTCTCTTATCTGAGAGTAATGAACTTTTCTTTAATAAATATTGGATTTTGTGATGGCAATAAGTTTTAAAATAACTGTAGCCCATTCGATTTTGAATTGTCCATTGCTATTCACTCCTCAAAATAATTTAGCTGAGAAACGACCCATAATTTGAAAATTCCTGGCTACGCCACTGTTTTGTATAATTGTTGACATAAATCATACTTAATCGTAATAAAATTTGCCATACAACGAATTAGTGTGAATTCCACGGGTTCACATAAATAAAGTAGTTTTTCAGTAATATATGGCTTGTATTTTAACTATATCAAGCCTCCAACCATTATATAGTCTAAATAAAGAGAAAAACTCGTTTATTGGCTTTGAAAACAAACAAAGCCTACTGCTTCAACTTGATAGAGATCTGAAAAGTTAGGCGTATCGCTGTTGAAAAAATTCATTTGGTTTAAGAAATAGGTCGACAATGAGAAATTCAACTCTTTTAAATTATAGCGCGTCATTTTCTCTTCAATCAAAAACCTTCTCGAACTTTCTAGCATGTAAAATAATCGAAAAATATGTGAAAGAAGCTGAGGCGTTGCCAAATCAAATTGTTGTTTGTCATTAAACACAATAAGGAAATCGATTCGGAAGGTATACGAGAGTGTGTAGGGAACATTTTTCGATATATAGAAGTCATATTCTTCATGTTGCAAACCTCTACCAAAGCTCAAAGAACTTCCACAAGCGAGGTTGACCAACTGTTTATAAGTTTTTCATGAATATCTTAATAAAATCCACAGATACACTCGTAAAACCGATGAATCATAGTGTATTTGAAAGTATGATTTTTGAACTATTTAACCACGTGTGAAACTCGAAAAACAGTTATTATTGACAAAAATAGCGATTTTTGATATTTTGTATTTATCTTTGAAAATTTATTTTACTTTGAATATTGATTTGTTCTATATATTCAAAATTTATAATATTCAGAGTAAAGACATATGTAAAGTTTATATCTTATTCATAATAATTGAATATGTTAAGTCATGTCTGATGTATTCAATGGAAAATTTCCTACAATTTTGAATCACAATACTTTTAACATTTAACTCATCAAGAAAGTATAATTTCATCATATTTTATCAAAAATTTCTGTTTCTTCAAGAAAACTCTAATATTATGATATGAAATTATAAGTATTTAATCAATTTTCATCATCAGTATTTCTATGAGTTTAAAAATTAAATTAATCCTTTGGTTCCAAGGTTTTTTGAAAAATAACAAAAAGTATTGTTTTTGTCAAAAGTCTTAAATTATATTTTATTATCATACAGAAGCATTCCGAAATGTTTTCGAGTATGATATTCTTCAAAACAGCCTATAACACAAAGTCCAACGTTGCAAATGTCAGGAAAAATCAACATGACGTATGTGAACACATTGAAAAGATTCCATGGAATATGTTTGAGAATTTCAACATGTGATGCTTGGGTATTTCCAAATATCATGAATGTCCTAGAACTCGTTCCATGAACAATTGCAAGTCATGACAGAAATATAGAACATCATTCGGCAAGAAGGCAAGTACAAAGAAAAGAGAAGGAAAATCGGCCTAAACTATCATGACGAAATTTCTCACAACGAATCTATGTCAATAGAATGCAGAAGAAAGTAGATAAATACAATGCATAATAATGCTATTCGATGTCACAGTAATGAGACAAAACGAGAGTAAAGGGGGGGGGGGGGTACTCTTATAGTCCAATCAAGGAAAAAGAATTTCGCAAACGTACTTTAAGCGAAATTCAAAACGTATATATACGTGTCCCGTAACCAAAGGATTAAAAGTTTTACTCATTTTTACAAATACTAAGTAATACAAATTGTTTTTGAATACTATTCAGTATATCCCTAAAAAAAACTAAAATCTTTTACGACTGTATAGGTGTCAGATCTTCCGATATCCCTGCCTTCTTCTCTACAGTCTGATCAGTCCTAACATTATTCCTACTTTGAAAATGGTTGATTTTAAATCTTTATCATATTATTGCAACAGTGTTATCGATATTTTTCAAATTTTGTTGTTGTTCAACATCTAAATAAAAGTATTTGTATATCTTCCATTAAGAACAAAAAACAAATTGTTTACTTTCTTTGTATTTCTATTGACAAAAACTTCCTTAGGAATAATCATTTTGAAAAAAAAAAATGTTTTAAAATTAGTAAAATATTAGCATATTGTCATTCGTTTACAAAAATAAAGTACATATATATATATATATCAACATATTTTCTTACGATGAGTTTTCAGTAATAGTATTCTATCGTTATTCACATCATAAGTTTTCAATAAAACCGGTATGTTTTTCTTTTCTTTCTTATCATTATTTAACACATACATTGTATGACTAATAAGAAAGATTAAGTCACTTCCTAATATTTATCAGAGAAAGAAAAAGAAACTTCGTAGTTTCATGTAAAACGAAATGCAATGCATTGTAGTTTCTTCTTTTTGTCAAAACCATCAATTTTAATTATTTACAAACGAAATATTTATTTTTTATGGCTAATAATTATCAAGATGATGAAGATGCAGCATTGGAAGAGTGTAAAGATTTGAGCACAATACATAAAACTTCGGACACTGCATTAACTACTAGGCCTTCAGGTAATGGTAAATATGACGATTTCTATAATCATATTAATCAAATTGCATCATCATCATCTATACCGTTCATTGCTGATAACAACAATTTTGCATCATCATCGGTCTATTTTAATGAAATACCTCTTGACTATAATGAATGGCAAGTACGTGATTCTTATGCTAGCAGAAAACGTTCTCCACGGCAAAACGAATTTCTTCGACTTCTGCTAGAAAATCCACGTTATCGTTCGTACACATGTTGGTTAGATAAAAAGCGAGGTTTATTTAGAATTCTTCAACCAGATCAAGTAGTTGCGCTATGGGAAAAAGTTAAAGGTCGACAAACTCAACGAAAAATGAATTATGAAACATTTTCACGAGGTATCCGACATTATTATAAAGCAGGAATAATGATGAAAACAAATACAAGATACACATTCTGTTTTAAACAATCTGCACAATGATGCTTCACCATAAAAAGAGATATTCTCTTCACTAGTTTTTTTTTTTTTTTAATAAAAGGTGAATAAAATTGATCAGAAATCAATTAAAATATATAACAACGTTTTTAAAGAGTAAATGGTGAACTCTCTCAAGCACTTTTTTTTTTTTGAGAAATTCATACAGATTTGAGAAGCTTTCAAACAAATAGTAACATGAATAAATGTATAGAAGATGCTTCCTGTCACAATGAAAACAAAGCTTGCTTTATCTATAATTGTTTTCAATTGAGAGAAACATGTCTGATATTTTGTATATGGTTTGTAAGCTTTAAAAATGTTCGCTCAACTTCTTATTAGTTATTCAACTGCAGCTTTAAACAGAAAGACTGTGTGTTCTGAAGTTATTCTATTATTATATTCGTTCACTCTAAAAGAATTTCACCAACATCAATTAAAGTAACAAATAGTTAAAAGATATATTTTTCAATAACAAAAACAAACATGATTGCAAACTTAATATAATTATGTTATATCATATATTTCAGATATTGTAAGAAGATTCCATGGTGATATAGAGAGAAGTTTGTTAGAATAATCAAAAGAGGAAGTAGACATACTTATTGATGATAATCTTTTCTTTAGATATTATATATATATATATGTTTCAATCAGAGCTATCGATCTGGCCTAATCTATCCATAAAATATTCGACCTGATATTAATAGATCAAAGTTCTTTAACTGATTCTTACGTATTGAAAATCAAATGTTGACACACCACCTTACTATTCGAAATTATTTTGACAAATTCGTTTGAGTTCAGCAATAAATATTTAACTCAAACATTAATTTAGTGTCATAAGACTTACACTGACTGACAGAAGAACTTATTCTAAATTCAAAATAATTGTAAGATAAATTTTGTTCTCGTGCTGCTACAATAATATAGGCATAATCAAGTATATTTGTGTTATTATGATTGTATTTTTTTTATTTAAAAAAAAAAACAGAATTAATATGATCAAAAACATTTTGTTAATTCAAACTTTTATGAAAAATTTTTATATTATCTTTTTGTTTTAATTTAGCATTTTGTGTAAGAATTTGTTATTATCTTATCTTTATGTAAATAAATCAAATGAACAACTGAAACTAGAATTAAATGTACTCATAAAATCAGAAAAAGCAATCTGCCTAGTTTGACTTGTAGATATTTCGAACCAGACTAGGTCAGGTCAGGGAGAAATGGCTTGGTAGCAGTTCTGATTTGAATATCGAATTGATTAAGTAGAAAAAAAAAAGAATTGATATTTTTTGGCTGTCAATTTATCAAGGTCTGTTAGATTGTATTATTTACTATTAAACGATATATTCAGTGCGTTAAAAAAACCTAATATTTACGTCTAATAGTCATTTTGCAATAAAACCCCTATTAAACGTTAGCTTAATCATAATAAAATATTTACCTTTGTACTGTGATTGGCCCTTTTATGCTTCTTTATTTGATGAATATTTAATTCATAATTACGTAAACATTAAAGTAATGATTATCATTCGATAGAATATAAATTTTCCTTGTCAGTTAATAAGTAAATAAAACGACTTTATAAATATTTATGTTAAACATTGTCACATTACTTAAAAGGAAAAAGAATGCTTGACAATCAACTAAACACTATATCGCCGTCATCTGTTGTTGATTCGTTGGATGCATTATTTAATTATATTGATGCTGAACCTAAGTATTCCTCTTCTATCAATGATTTGATGAATGACTGTTATGAATTGAATGATTATTTTAATAACACCTCTAATGAACAACATACAATTTCTTATCAACCAATTACTAATGATCAAATGCAAACGAAAAGTTCATTTTCGAATTTTCGTTCTATCGATAATTGTGAAAAATATTCAACAAGATCATTAAGAAATAGTGATGAAATTCCTTTTAATCCAATGGAATGGCATGTCACAGATAAATTCACAAGAAAACTACGATCTCCAAAATTAGATGAATTTCTTTATTTGTTACTCAATAATTTACGTTATGTATCCTATTCATCTTGGTTAAATAAAGCCAAAGGTTTATTTCAAATTCATAAACCCGCGAAAGTTATTGAACTTTGGATAAAAGTTAAACATCGGAAAACAAAATCTAATTTGAATTATGAGAAATTTTCACGAAGTATTCGATATTATTACAATAAAGGGACTATGATTGCAACATATAAAAAACATACTTATTGTTTTGCTGTTAATAAATAATAATATATTTTCGAATAAAAATTTTAGTTCTTATTATTATACTCATTTATTCACTTACTAACATAGACAAATGACTTATTTCTGAAATTTTATATTTTCGAATAGAAATTCTTTCGAAGAATAGTATAACTTTTCTTTTCATCAATTAAAACAATGATCAACTTATTTTTACAAAATAAAACAGAGATTATATTGATATTCTTGGCTTTTTTAATTATGATAGATTGTGCTTTATTTATAGATTTTTTTCTTTCGTAAAATTTGATATCAATTTAGAAAAAAATTAATTACCTATTTGGTAAAGTAATATTTAATAAATAGTTGATCAATGAAACATTTAATTTTTAGAAAAATCAGGTAATACATGTGATATCAAAAGAAGAATTTGTAAGAATCAGATAGTGTTATGCAATCAAGTTTTTAATAAAGTATATAATCTTATTAAATGAATAAATAAGTGATTGCTTATAGTATGTTAATAATACAAAGAAGTAGAAAAACACGTGGTTGTCATAATTATGAAAAATAACTATTCATTCAGTCTGCCTATTCTTAATGATCAAATAAGATATGACAGTTTGCATGACTAATGTCTATAGCTGCATGATAATCAATAAGATTGTTTTAGGTGATTAGGGATAAAAATGGACTTGCCATAAAGAAAAATGAGGGAATGTTTTCGTTAGTCAAACAACGACATTGATTCTGGGTAATGCATGATAAACAAAAAACCTATTCTGATGTCACTTTAGATAAATAAAAAAATGAGTCAGAATTAAGTCGCTCCATTTAACAAAAATGTCCAATATCATTCTATTCATGAATAAAGTTATGATATTTTGTAATGGTCAATGAATTGAAGTGAGGTTTTTTTTACCATCAATTCATTCAATTAAAATGACTGCCGTTTTGAATTGAACTATGACTGCTCTAATTTAAACTTTGACTAGAAATCTTTTCTTCAAAATTAATAAAATGTTAATCATCAATGTAATACTTCATTCGCTAAATAGTTCATGTCATCGATATCTTATACTGCCATCGATAATATATTGTTTAAAAAAAATAGCTCTTAGTACAATTCATATGGGATTAAAATGCGAAACACAATGCGATTGCTGTACTTAATCCTTCTAAAATACAATAAGGAAGTAATTTATATATCATAACGAGATGTTATTGATATATCATCTTTGATCGTGTATCACAAACGTTTTGGCTCATGTTTACTCGACATTGAATTCTTATAGATTTATATTAATTTGAGACAAATTTACTAAATAAATATTTTCTATAAAGGTTAATTATTGAAAATTGCTTATCAATAATAGAAAACATTTTTTCTTCCTGTATGTATGTGTATAATCCGATGATGTCGACAATAGAATCTGTTGCTGTGGTATCTAGCATTGATTCAACGAATTTTCTTGTAGAATTTATGACGATAATCACATGCGAATTATACAATGCAGGAAAATATTCTTCCTTTTTTATCTTTTTCAAAAGCTAAAACTTTTTTTGTGAAGAACGTTTTCATCTGTCTAATCATTTTTGGTTTGAAACTATTACTAGTCGATTAGTCATGATGATAAGTAGTGAAAAAGACTATTTTGATCTGATTTTCTCGTCTTCGTTTGGTGAGTTATCGGCATTTTATTGATTTTTATCCTATGAGCATAGAATCGTGGAGAATTTGGATGATCAAATTTCGAGCTGAAATTTCATTCAAAATTAGACCTTATAGTAACTAGAAATTCTTGAAAGTTTGAACTAGAACGAACGTATCTTGATCAAGGGATTAGCTTGTAATGAAAATATTCTTTTTTTTTAAACACAGCACAAAAAAGTGGTTTGTTTTTTTGATATAAACAATTTCACAGGGATGCATCTGCTCGGACTTTAATTTAGGCAAGTTTTTATTGACAATAAGGTTTATCTATCAATGGCGAAATGTTTTCAAATCGTATTTTCGTCGTTTAATGTAGAGCTTCTAGCTAGAAGATATTCATGTAGATACAGTGGCTCCAAAAATTATTCATACAGGTGTAATTTCGATTTTTTTCCCTAATGGTAACTCCTATGAAGAATCCAAATAGTGATTTGGATAGAGAAAATTGTTTCCAACAAAGATCCCAGAAAGATGAAATTCTCATCTTATTCCCCAAAACCAGGATCTCTGGAAAACCGAAAACCTATTTTTTCAGCACCCAAACCCCGAAAATAAAAGTTTGTTTTGATTACACAGTGTGATAGAGCAACGAATTCTCTACAAAACGAGATGTCTCCGAGCTCTCCATGACAATTTTTTACTGAACTGCATCAGTTTTAAGAAACACTCANAATTTCCCGTCCAAACAAATTTTTCAGGCCTTTCAAAGATTCCCTCACTACTCTCGAACAAAAACTGACAAAAAATTTCCAAGCTCATATTCAGAAATAGCACAAAATTCTGGTTTTAATCCATAGTTTTCGACTCGTCTGAAATATTTTCAAGTGGGTCAGATATAAACAAACATTTTGTGCGAAAACTTTCGATCCACCCGTTATTATCCATGAATGCATATCATTCATAGCGATACAAGGAACTGATATACTTCAATATAAGATCAAAGGATTTTTTTGTTCATTGTACTCGATTATTATTTGAAATTTAAAAGAAAATTGTAAGGTCTTTATCAAGGATCAAAACTGCATAGAATTACAACATTATAACGATAAAAAAATTGATAAAATTCTGTTGAAAAATTAATAACATTACAGATTCCATTGAATAAGTGTAGTATATTCAAAACTGTTTCGGGAAATGAATCAGTTTTACATGTCAAATCATCACTTTTATTTATTCAGTTTTGAACGTACATTCGTGTGTAACTATTCGAAACCTGTTAAATTCAATTTCAATTGTTTTTTAATAATTAAAAATTTTCTCATAAGAATTTTAATAAAACTTGTACATTAAATTTTACTTTCAACTAATTGTAATTTATAAAGTGTGCTAAAATTGGGTTTCATTATTTCTATTTAATTAGCTGTCATTTGTTGAATGTGCTAAAATAGTGCTTGCATTTTTCTTTTTAATTAACTAAAATTTATAGAGTTCGCTCGGCATAATTGTGATAATGAATATCATGAGCTTTTTTTATGAACTTGAACACGCTATCCTATTGTGACTATAACATGTAACAAAACATTGAATGAACACAAATTAGTTAAAGTGCTCGAGCGTTTATATAAAACAAAAATACGGAAAACGATATTAAACAGAAAGGCGACATTAACACAAGAATATTACTGAGCGTCTTCTCTTCACGTTCACACATACATCCATCCACCCACCTAACAGTCACAATAAATACTGAGTTATCACTATGAATCACGATAGAATCTCTTTGAAACCTTGCTTTTGACTTTGATTAAAATTCTTCTTAACTAATCGCAAGTCGATGCACGTTGCTCGTGCATTATGAGTATGACTTTATCAATAATAAAAAAAAAAATCTGCTAGTCAATATTTATCTAAAATATTTAATTCTCTTTCACAAAAGTCATGTTACATTCAGCTGATAATTACCGTCATTTATTTTAAGACTTAGATTATTTTCAAGATCGATTATTATATACATGTAGTTTTATCTCATATAACACTTAATAATTAATATTTATAGGAAAAAGTGTCGTGTGAGTTTTTTATGCCATGTATAATTTATTACATATTCCTTTTAATCTAATTCAATCAAAAATTTTCTTCGGTTAAAAGCTCATGCTCTCTATATATTTCATTCAAGTCTTTAAAACAAAACAAAAAATCTGCCTTTATTCAACAAAAAACTTACGTCTTCTATAAATTGCAGTAACTTTTCATTAAAATTTTTTTACGATTGATTTTCTATATGTCATCTCATTAAGAAAATCTTTAAAAGTTAACTATCAGAAATCTAATAAAATTGTCAACTTTCAATCAATCAAAAATTTGATTATACTTTAACTTAATTTTCTTCATACTCACAAATGAGAAGTAGCCATCCACTGATGGGATAACTCACTTGTAGAGATTCTATAAATGCAAGCTAAATTTCGGATTACTTATTTTTACAATTTTGATTTTCATAAACAAATATAGTTATTCAATGTTGATTGTATCAATATCTCGAAAAATATATAATTAAATTTCTTATGAAACTTTCCAAGATAATAACAACTATTAATACACTTGATAGAGTGCAAAAACAAAGGAAATCAATTTCGATAAATGTCTAGCAAGGAGAAAAGTCTCTATTCTTTTTCCGTTGGTCTTATTAAATGGTGATAATTGATCAGACACAATAACAAATATTTATTCAGTACCTACTTAGTTTTAAATAACTCTAGAGATTCATCTTGGTAAAGTTGTGAGATGAAACATGAATGGTACGAATTTCACGGGAACGAAAAAAGTAGGGGTACCGTTCAGAGTTGAGTACAGGACAAAATAGAAAACATTGTCCTGTCTCCTCCTCTGTTTTGTTGGTTATCAGGTACATTTTCATTGTTTTGTTTTTGTTTATTAATAGTATCCATGACATGTTAAGATAATCATGGCAAAAGTTCATAAGTGCATATTTTTTTAAATACTTATTTTCTGTGATGAATGTCTCATTAAAATAATACATTAAGATGTTTCTATTATTTTTCTTATATTTAAAAATATTGATCATAATTGAAAAGTTTAACTGTTGTATTTGAACATGATACGAAATACATTAGCTATAAGATAACTAATATGTAGTTTGGTAATCGAAAGTTATAATAAAGATTCTTAGTATCCTGCCACTCACTAGGATGCAATAAGACTGCAGGAAAGGACAGAAAAATGTTGTCCTGCTCTCATCTCAGGTACTATTACTTGATTATAAAAATAGATATAAATAATCGAATAATCATACAAAGGAAGCGTCTAATCAATTTTTGAAAGATTTCTGAATAGTTGCAAGAGCCTTATGATTATATCTTTTCATAGTCTT